GATGATTACGTAACTGCAGATCATCTGTCCATCATCGTATAAAGCCCGCCCTGGCAATTTGATTGGCCCGACGATTTCTGAACCGATCATAATTACTCCTCAATGGATCGAGTCCAGACCGAACTTCCCGACCAAAAAATGTTGTGGGCGGGGTTCGGGCTGGCATCCAGGCTAGCTGCAATCTGCTGTGTCAATAAAAACTAAATGTACCTAATTGACACAACATGCTGTTTTTTATGTAAAACCCAATAAAAAAATGATAAAAAACAATATTTATAATATATAAAAATAATAGTAGTATTAATAATATGAAATATTATTGAACAGGTTATTTTGCACCAATATGGTCCTATATAGCACTTTCAAATGATGGTTCTTTATGGAACCTTATAAAAAGGGTTCTATTTAGCACTAAAAAGGGTTCTGCTATTGTTACAAGCCGAAGAACCGGCAGCAGTCTAAGCAGAGACGTCCAGACTTCCCTCTCCCTAGACACTTCCTCCAGCTCTTCCGGGGGAATACTGAGGCGTTCCCAGGCCACCCGGGAGACATAATCCCTCCAGCGTGTCCTAGGTCTTCCTCTGGGTCTCTGGAACACCTCCCCGGAAAGGGGTCCAGGAGGCATCTGGAACACATGCCCGAGCCACCTCAGCTGGCCCCTCTCGATGTGGAGGAGCAGCGGCTCTACTCTGAGCTCCTCCTGAGTGACCGAGCACCTCACCCTATCTCTCTGGGAGCGCCCAGCCACCATACGGAGAAAGCTAATTTCGGCCGCCTGTATCCGGGATCTTATCCTTTCGGTCATGACCCACAGCTCATGGCCATAGGTGAGAGAAGGAACGTAGATTGACCGGTAAATCGAAAGCGCCCAGCTCAGCTCTTTATTCACCAAGACAGACCGGTACATCGACCGCATTACTGCAGAAGCTGCTCCGATCTGTCTGTCAATCTCCCGTTCCATCCTTCCCTCACTCATGAACAAGACCCCAAGATACTTGAACTCCTCCACTTGAGACAGGAACTCTCCACCAACCTGAAGCGGGCAAGCCACTCTTTTCCGACTGAGAACCATGGCCTCGGACTTGGAGGTGCTGATTCTCATCCCAGCCGCTTTACACTCGGCTGAAAACCGTCCCAGTGCATGCAGAAGGTCCTGGTCTGATGAGGCCAACATGACAACATCATCCGCAAAAAGAAGAGATGAAATCATGTGGTCCCCAAACAGGACACTCTCCGGACCCTGGCTGCGCCTAGAAATTCTGTCCATAAAAATTATAAACAGAACCGGTGACAAAGGGCAGCCCTGCCCAACATGCACCAGGAACAAGTCTGACTTACTGCCGGCAATGCGAACCAAGCTCCTGCTCCGGTCGTACAGGGACCGGACAGCCCTTAGTAGAGGGCCCCGGACCAATACTCCCAGAGCACCCTCCACAGGACGCCGCGAGGGACACAGTCAAATGCCTTCTCCAAATCCACAAAGCACATGTGGATTGGTTGGGCAAACTCCCATGAACCCTCCAGCAGCCTGGAGAGGGTATAGAGCTGGTCCAGTGTTCCACGGTGGGGACAAAAACCACACTGTTCCTCCTGAATCCGAGGTTCCACTATCGGCCGAATTCTCCTCTCCAGTACCCTGGCATAGACTTTGTGTGATCCCCTGTATTTGGAACACACTGTCCGGTCCCCTTTCTTGAAAAGAGGGACCACCACCCCGGTCTGCCAGTCCAGAGGTACTGTCCCCGACCGGCACGTGATGCTGCAGAGGCGTGTCAGCCACGAAAGCCCCACAACATCCAGAGATTTGAGATACTCAGGACGGATCTCATCCACCCCCGGTGCCTTGCCACCGAGAAGCTTTTTAACTACCTCTGTGATTTCATCTTGGGTGATGGACGAGTCCACCTCCGAGCCCGATCCACTCGAGGATCTCCTCGAGTCCATCTCCGAGGAAATCCTCGAAGTATTCCATCCACCATTCCACGATATCCCCAGTTGAGGTCAACAGCTGCCCACCTCCACTGTAAACAGTGTTGGTAGGGCACTGCTTCAATCTCTTCGAAGCCAACCGATAGTCCTTCTCCATGGCTTCACTGAACTCCTCCCAGGCCCGATTTTTGCCACCACAACTACCCGGCCTGCAGTCCGCTTGGCCTGCCGGTACCCGTCAGCTGCCTCAGGAGTCCCACCAGCCAGCCAGGCCTGATAGGACTCCTTCTTCAGCTTGACGGCATCCCTTACTTCCGGTGTCTACCACCGGGTTTGGGGATTGCCGCTTCGACAGGCACCCAAGACCTTATGGCCACAGCTCAGAGAGGCCGCGTCGACAATGGAGGTGGAGAACATGGACCACTCGGATTCAATATCTCCAGACTCCCTTGGGATCCGGTCGAATCTCAGCCGGAGGTGGGAGATGAAGATCTCTCGGAAAATCTCTCTCCGGCTGGGCCCGGGTCCTCGCATACAAGCCCCAACCCCGGGCCTGGCCCCAGGGTGGGGCCCCGGCTGCGCCATGCCGGGCGACGTCTCGGCCCTTGATTTATCTTTCTTCATAAGGGATTTTTAAACCGCTTTTAGTCTGACCCGTCACCTAGGACCTGTTTGCCTTGGGAGACCCTACAACATAGCTCCTAGGATCATTCGGGTACTCAAACCCCTCCACCACGATAAGGTGACAGTTCAAGGAGGGGTTTCATTTGGTACTGTTTAGAACCATTTTTCTTAAGAGTGTAGCTACTCCACAAAACAAATTCTCAGTCCACCATCTAGAAACAAACAGGATCTAGGTGCATTTGAGTGGCATAGAGAGCAAACTAAGACACAACCTTAGCTGCATAGATGAAGGAAAGCATTGTATATCCACAAAACTTGAACAAACCTATTTTCCTTTTTTTTGTAATACATACATTTGGCCTGTCATGGCTTATGAAGTATTACTATTCCTTCATGTTGCTGTTTTTATTGCAAAACAATGTGATTTTTTTCCCAACAGCCCAATCTTTTAAAAGTAAAATACCACTATTTTACAGTCAAAATCATTCGAGATTTTCATCCCATCCATACTATGGCCATTGGATCCCTTGAGAACCCATGCAAACTCAATGCAAATAAACTGGTGTTGGTATGAGAGTCTGAATTATCTCATTTAGTGTCCTTCCTAAATGCATGTGCAGTGACACCACCATATTTAACATATTTAACACCATATTTAACATAGAGTTCTAAAGGGTCTGCTGTGTTTGCTGCTGTACTGGAGCAACAATATACTTTTGATGGTGCTTTGTCATAAGAGATAGCCTACCACAACTTAAACAAAACATCCATTCTAAATCAAAGCAAATATATCCCACACTACCACATTACCCTTAAAGTCCCACTCCGATCATATTTTGAGCTATTTGTAAACATTCCCAGTGGTCTTTAAATTATGATTCTGCCATTTTTAGCCAAACTCACAAAACCTGTGCCGTTTTCTGGGACTTTGCTTCAGCAGAGCGGCAGTAGCTCATTAGCAATTCGCCTCTGCGTTGTGGGCGGAGCCGTTGGCACGGAGATGACCCTCCCCCTCCCCGTTGCTGAGAGCTCTGTCTCTCCCGCTAGCTTACACCCCCAACCTGTCATTACCGGTGCAACCAAAATTGAGAGCAATATTGGAGCTATCCAGCCGTACAGTGCGTTTTCGTTTTAAAACGCATAACTTTTGCAACGATTATGCGCTCCTGCCGTCCACATTACTGACCCTCGGCCTCGAAAACGGAGACTGACCCCTTCAGTCGAGTCCGATGCAAGACACGCAAGTGACGCAACCCATAGCAATGAGTCATGGCAACGACAGCTCAAACCAACAGAAACATACAAGTAAACGTGAATTTTGTCACATTGTCATGTTAATTATAATCAAATGCATTTTGTTTTATTGAAAACAATATTATCATTGATATTTGTTTGAGAGGGGCACTTTCGATTAATTTTAACAAGCTTGTGGCCCCGCCCAGTGGAGTTACTACGTCACAACTCCAGTCTATTTTAAACGGCATTTTAGCGTCTGCTACTGATTCACAGCCATTTGAATGTAGAAATACTCAGAAATACAACTTTGAGCTTATTTTTCTCAAGATATGTCCTCTAACATAAGAAAAATGCCACAAGAACATGTTAACACCTAGAAAAACATAATTTTCATCGGAGTGGGTCTTTAAACAATAAATCAAATATTTAACATTTTACTCATTTTAGTAATCCATCAAATAAAAATGACAGTCTAAGGTTCATAATGTACTATTTGTATTTATCCTATTACTAAGTGCATCTTTGTGACTGTTTGGCCATGGTGACTGGGAAGACCTTGAGGCAGCTGTATTGCCATGGCAATGCCCTACATTCCACACCATGTCACGTTCGGGGTGTTTGTTTGCCTGTTTGGAGAACTTGTACAGGCCATTTTTCTATTTAGATGAGTTATGATTTCTGATTTTCTTTTCTTTTTGTATTTTATGAATATAGCTGTGTGTTCATGTAGCCTATTAAAATGTGTTGTTCAATCTTTCTTAAAATTACTTTGTTAACTTATTACTTTATATCTTATTTGAACGGACCATAGCGTATAGCATATTAGTTGTCCATCTTACAAATAACAAATAGCAAAACAAATAAGTAGGCCTTGAATGTTTTGAAGTCTATATGCAGTTGTTGTATTTAAAACTATTGATTTTATTTTCTGGATTTTTTTTAAATCAGCTATTTATCAGTTATCAGCCATAATTATTAGCTTATTAATGTTAGCTAAAATGTTAATATCTGTGCATCCCTACTAACTTCTATGAATTATTTTATCAAATTATGTAAATACAGCCATTTGTTTATTTATGTATTACTTTTTTAAACATTTAATAAATATCATATTATCATTATGTTATCACTTTAGCCAATGTATTATAGTTATTTACATATTATTGACTGGTATAGGTTATACAAAATCGCTCTTTTCGGTGCTCCTTTAGCAGCCTCGCTCAGACAGACCTTATGGTCGATTGCAGATTCATCGATCCTGCTACCCATGCTTTAATTTCACCATGGAGAAGCCTGTGGGTTCTTTACAAGAGCAAGCTTTGAAAAGGAAAGAACGATTAAAAGCTCTACGAGACCGACAGTTTCAAGTGAGTTGCCTAATAAATGTTATTTTCTTTAAGACATAAGGTAAATAAAGCGCGCTCACTGGGCAACTTGCTTTAGTTAGCTAACGTTAGCATGTTAGCAAAACAATTAAGCATTTCCGATTGTTTTATGATAAATTTAGCATAAGTTGTCATCAAGAGGATTTGGTCATTTTAATGTCCCCCCGTCTTACTTTTAATTAATTTATGTTCCATTCTTTCCAGTCTATTATCCAAAGAAGTTATTATTTTGCATTAATGATCATTGAACAAACACTTACAATGAATGTAGAAAAGCTTGATAAGCAAACATGTTTTAGTTTGGTTTAAGCTTTTTTTTTCGCCAGTAGGATTGGCCATGCAAACCGATCAGCTGTGCTGGAAACTTATAACAGAAATAATCACAAGTACATGGAATTAAGATTTGTCTTCTCTATACAACAACATAGGGGTGAATTCAGGTTAATTGATACACTTTTTCCAAGTCATCTCAATGGCAAAAAGTGTCCCAATCACGCTGAATTCACCCTATAACTAGATTCAGTCCCTTAAAAAATGAGGAACAAGCCTGTGCAGTTTTATTAGTGGTAATCGACATACCACCAATGTCGTTAGATTTTAATTAACTAACCTGTTTCCTTAAATGCGCACACGATACTTTTGCTCTGATTCATTGTGACATAGTTTCCATATGTCTTATTGTATGTCAGTGTTCATCAGAGTTTAATAGTTTTGGATCAACATTTGGATTTTTCCTTTTTGTTCACAACTATTTGTTGTTTTTTTAACTACAGGGACAGGCACCTGAAGATGGAGAGCCTGTGAGCAAAAGAGCTCTGGAGGACTCTGAGACAGAGGACAGACACAGGTAAACACACAGATATAATGTCTGTTGTCACTTCTACCGAAGAATACCACAAAGAACTAAACTAAATTCTCAGTTCCACCATTTAGAAACAAATAGGAGTTCGTTGAAAAGACTGCCTGTTGTAAATGGGCAATACATAACAAAGCTGTACTCTGTTTATATGATCTTAACAAGGGCTGGAAGCAAGGTAAAGGTCTCTCTTGCTCTCAGTTCTATTTCAGGCTCAAGCCAAGGCCTCGAGCTCTCTGCTTTTTTCCGTTGTTTACTTTCAGAACCCTTGTGCTCCCCTCCTCCCTGAGCTCAAGAGGTGTTTGGCATTAACAGTTTGCAAAGGTTCCTAAACACTCATCACCTAATATCTGGACTATGTCTACCTTAGTACATAGTTCACATGAAAAAATAAAATTCTGTCCTCATTTAGCCTACTTGCTCATTCTGTGAAACACAAAAGAAGATATTTTGAAGAATGTTGGTAACCAAACAGTTTTTACTCCAATTGTGAGACATTTTGTAAAATATCGTCTTTTATGTTCTTTAGAAGAAAATCATAAAAGTTTTGGAATGACATGAGGGCGAGTAAATGATGACAGAAAGAATTAACCTATATGACTTAATTGATCTACAGTATTGTGGGTATAAGGCTTTTACTTTTACTTAGGTTTTGAAATGAAGCTGATATAGGAGATTGTCTGGGAGAGAATGTTTTAAGGTGTGTCTCCTTAAACATTCATTATTAAAATAGCGACACAGCTTGGAAACAATGAGGTGTAATTCACCACCGAGCACACTTGTTATTGTGACACTTCAATGCTGCAATACCTGACAAATAATCTACTTGTCTTAACAAAAACAAAATGACAGTTTGAATTGTCTTTCAGGTTTATTTTAAATCGGGAAACAAAAATTTAACTGGTTATAGAGGGAAATATTTTATGATTTTATGGAGACAACTGGAAAAAAAGCCAGAATGAATCAAAATGAACTTAAAAAAAAAAAGCAAGTACACATTCAATTGATCAAAAGTGACAGTAAAGACAAAATATTTCTATTTAAAATATATGCTGTTCTATGATTAATAAAATTCTGACTTTGAGTTTCCACAAAAATACTAAGCAGCACAACCGTTTGATAATAACAACATTGATAATAATAAGCATCAAATCAGCATATTAGAATGATTTCTGAAGGATCATGTGACACTGAAGACTGGCATAATGATGCTTAAAAATTCAGCTTTGCCATCGGAGGAATAAATTACATTTTAAAATGTATTTAAATAGAAAACAATTACTTTGTATTGTAATAATATTTCACAATTCTTACTGTTTTTACTGTATTTTTGATCAAATAAATGGTGCTGTAAGTTGGCATAAGAGACTTATTTCAGAAACATTAAAAATCTTACCGACCCCAAACTTTTGAATGGAAGTGTACTTTATCGTGCTTGAAAGTGTTTGCTGCTTATTTATTTCCAGGCTGAATCAGAGGAAACATGCTCTTTTGTTGGGCTTTTTGTTTAAGCTGTCAAAAATCTGAAGTAAGGTGAGTCAGATAATGAATGTCTGCTCAGGTTTTGAATAAAACCCAACCTTTCACCAGACAGTGTTTTGTCAGCTTAAGCAGTAAGACAAATATCAAAATTCCAACTTGACCTTGAATTTTCCCAAGCAAAGCAGAAGCCCATCTCACCACATCGCATTTGTTATTATCGCTGTACTTTTTAAATGACTTTTGTCAGCAGCCAGGATTTATTGTTCCACTGCTGCCTATTTTAGAGTGAAGGAAGCCCAACGTTGGTCCCCTCGGTTGTTTTGCTGGCTCTGAGAAACGAGAGACCTTCCACCAAACTGTCAAGGCACTCAATTCAACTCCGTCCCTTGAGCATTAGTCCCATCTTTCTGTATGTGATTAAATTAGAAAGCAGGATACTGTTCTAGGCAATGCGTCCAAACCCTTGGCCACGAGTTATTCAGGATTCAGGATGTTCTAAATGCTCACTTAGGGTTGACAAACGGCTGTTGACATTCTGAAAATGTTGAATTGTTTGGCTGTTGTACTGTAGATGAGGAAAGCCAGTGGTCCTGTATTGTTCCAGCAGGTGGTCAGGAAGTCTTTTCAGGAAATTTGAGGAAAGGGAGGCGTTCCCAGCTCTTTGTTTCAGTCGATTGCTTTGAGTGTTTTTTTCCAACGTGCTTCAAAACTCTTGTTTGGGCCTTTAGGGTCATAATATTTTGTGCAGCTTTCCAGGGCCTTGATGGGGTTTGGCCCAAGGGGGTAATCCATCGACCGGAAGTTGAAGCCGGCCGGATGCCGCCATCTTGTAGCAGAACTTCACTTGCGTTAGCATTTCCATTGTCTCCCATTCATTTTGGCGTCACTTCGACAGCGAATAACTTTACATCTGAGGCGTTTAAAGACTCCATTTGTCCATTATTTATTTCTAAAGAAACACGACAATGTATAAAGGGCTCCATTACTTTGTATCTTACGTTATGACCCCGTAGAAGCCGTTTTTGTACAAATAGGCTAACGATTCCGTCATAACACGCGACTCTCTGGCGCACACTAGAGAAAATTACCGTATAGACAGAAGTAGAAACTCGCGCGCAATCGGGGGGACGTAGAGCTCATGGACAGCTAATACTCACGATCTCCGGCTCTGCAAGTTTCGGAAGGGAATGATTCAGATTCCTCTTGGCACAGCTACTAGAAGATTAACGTCTGTCAGACAGGTTGCTCACGTCATCAAGCTTAGTTTGAGTCGGTTTGAGTCTGCGCTTCAGGAACGGAAGTGCTCAAAAATCGCTAAAAATGGGCTTCAACTGTCTCAACTGAGTTCCAATGAGATGGCTCTGTCCATTTCTTATACTGTCTATGGGTTTGGCTATGAAATTTGATTATTATTATTAAGGTAGTGGTCGCAATGCTTTGTGTTGGGTGACGTTGTTTCCATTTCATTACGCTTTATTTTGACAATCCTACACCCAAGACTATTGAAAAGGAGTGGTGACACAGCTGATATTAACAATCTGTTTGTTCCCAGCCCATTTAATTAGATGGTTTGACTCTACTGAAATTCATTTAGATCAAGCGGTGACGAATGTGGGCCACAATAAGTGTCCACAATAAACAAGAGGAATCATCTTTTAAAAATCTTTTTTAAAAACGTATCATTTTTGTATTCATGTTGGTTTCGAGAAACTTTTATACCGATTTCTAAATGTTGGTCGCACCACATGACTTTGATTTGGGGGACATTTTACAAATAAGCAGTGAAACACTTTAAAATATTGTTTATTTCTAAGAAATAATATTAAGTTTACGCCAGGTTTTCCCTTCAAGATTTAGATTTTTTTTAATGAGGTTTTTTTACATTACCACCCTCATTGATAGAACAAACAAAATAAACTTCACATTGTTGACACTTGACTCAATACTGGATGAATGTGGATCTGTAGTCAATAACTCTATTGTTTCCATCCACTCGTTTTTATGTTAATTTTGAGAGATCGCATAAAAAAAACAATGGAGATTCTAAGAATTCTAAAAATGCGCATAAAAAACATGTTTCGTCTGCTTTGCTCAAGTCATTATGTACAAAAAACAGCCACAGTGGCTTCCCCAATTGCAGAAATTTCCATTTTTATTACTGATATTTTGCTTTAGTTTCCAGGGAAGTGATGATTTTGTTGTCTTGAATACATGGGATGGAAACTGTTTTATGTGATATTCCAATTTTTGTGCTTAAGTTAAATTTGCAACTTTGGATGGAAACACTGCTGATGACAAATAAGAGTATTCATGATTAAGAAGAGGAAACATGTTTTTAAAAATCTAGTTTAAAAGCACATGTGCCAGGTTCTTAGAAATGTACTCTTTGTATTAATGTTGGTTTTGTGTTTTTGAAATTTGAATTCTATTTTCAAGAAAAGTTTGTGTAATGACTAAAAATGTCATGTGAAACCTTTTTAATAATCTAATTAATTTAAACTTCTCAAAGTAAACACAAATTTTTTTTTTAAATAATTCATGATATTTGTAAAAAATATAAGGCGGTGATGAGTGTGGGCCTGGTGTAGCCCCTTTTTTGAGAACAAAATTGGCACACATTTCAAGAGACCAACGAGTGAGCAATTTGATTAAAATGAATTCTCAGTCTCGACAGTTAGAAACAAACTTTGATGTTCTGTTGATCATGCTGTGAAGAACCCTCTGTGCTTCCCTGAAGATCCAGCAGCACATTTTGCTGTAACTTGCAAGTTAATAGATTGCTTGTTAATAGACCTGCCTGGTGATGGCATAATTGGGCTTGTTTCAACCCCTCTCAGCTGCGGTCCCTAGACACGGTCAGGTGCTACATGCTAATTAGCTAGTTCTTCAAAGATGAAGGGAGGCTTTGTACACATGGTGAGTGAATGTACTCTGGATGCCGCCACAGAGTGGATTCAGCACTCATATAGCACCAGCTGCCCACTGTCCAAACTAAATGTTTATCTGCACTGCCACCTGCTGGTTACTGGGGTTTCCTGTGATTGCCTTTGTATTATCTTCTTGAATTAATGAAAGGTTATAATGGAGGCAGTGACTAAACACTTGTTCGTAACTGCGAGTGAATTGCATGGTTTTGCAATTATGTTTGCAGAGAGCTGAAGCTGAGGAATTACACACCGGAGGACGAGGAGCTGAAGGAGAGACAGGTGCCCAAAGCAAAACCTGCATCAGGTGAGAACGCTTCTGGCTTACCTGCACAATAAATATTACTGGCTGTACCTTTAAATTATATTTTCAAATGTTTATAACTGCAAATTAAGCTTACCTTTCATGCTGGGTGATAGTTACATCAGGTGATCAGGTGTTGAGGTACTGGTTGTCTTAAAGGAATAGTTCACTTAAAAATTAAAAATCTGTCATCATGTACTCACTCTTTAAGTTGTTTCAAACCTGTATGAATTGTTTTCTTCTGCTGAACAAAAAGGGAGAAATTTTGAAGAATGGTGGTAACCAGACAGTTGATGGACCCCTTTGACTTCCAAAGTATTTTTTTTTCCTACAATGGAAGTCAATGGGGTCCATCAACTGTTTAGTTACCAACATTCTTCAAAATAGCTTTTGTCTTCAACAGAAGAATGAAATTCATACAGGTTTGAAACAACTTGAGGGTGAGTAAATGATGACAGAATTTTAGTTTTTAAGTGAACTATTCCTTTAATGGTCTTGTTTCATTCATATTCCTGTAGTGGAGGACAAGGTCAAGGACCAACTGGAAGCTGCAAACCCAGAGCCTGTGATTGAGGAAGTGGTGAGTGGATTTTTCCCTCAATCCAAAGTCCTTACACTCAGTTACACTACTACTTGTCAAAAGTTTGGAATAAATATTTTTTCTCTTGACTTGTGTTCTCAGGATCTGGCCAATCTTGCCCCCAGAAAACCAGACTGGTACAAACCTTCAATTTTTATTTATAAAACACAATCATACATCATATTCACTGTGATTTGATTTTAGTTTAATTTTCATTAGTTTAATGCTGTTAATAAAAAAAATACTGTTTTGTGTTTGTAACAGGGATCTAAAGAGGGACGTTGCCAAGAAGCTTGAGAAGCTAGAGAGGCGAACACAGAAAGCCATTGCTGAACTTATACGTGAGTATGACACTAACTGAGACAGGATTTTTTTAAAGTGCCCCTATTATGCTATCCTTAAGATTCTTCATTTTGTTCAGGAGGCCTCCGACAATAGTTTATTGTAGCATCTAAGTTCAAAAAACACTTTAATTTTCTCATAATTCTCATTGCAGTATCACCTCTTTTTCATATAGTGTCAGAAATGGTTTTATGCAAGATTCAGTCTCTCTAAACCACTCCTTTCCGAGAGCCTGCTCTGCTCTGATTAGTCAGATGGCCCAGTCTGTTGTGATTGGTGTACCACTTACAACACATGTCATATCTGAATTTCAGCTCTGAAGGCTTCCTTAGCAATTAATAGGGACATTTAACTGCGCTTCACATTTTATGGAGAACAGCTTGTTTTCTGTTGCTTTTGTAAGACGGTTCACAGCTCCTTAGTGTGCGATTACAGTTTCTATTATCTTAGTTTTCAAATATCACGATTAAATGGTGGATAACACCGTCTCTATAATGTATAAGAATATTACAAAAAACATACCACTCTGAAACGTCCTGTGAAAGCCGTGCCTGCAAAGTCTGTGCATGAAATCTGTTCTGGACAATCCTCTTGTTCGTTAATATTGTCAGGGTCTGAATCGGGCTCGAATTGGTTTGAAATAATCTTAATATTTACACTAGAGAAGAGCTTGCAGTTATGGAGGGGTGGGACATTTCCTGAACACGTGCTAAGTGCCAATCACAACACACTGAGCCAGCTAACCAATCACAGCACATTTCGGAAGAGGGGCTTTATTGAAATCGGTGCGTTCAAGCCAGACTGAGGAGAGGGGAGCTGTAATAATGTAGAATTGTTTTTAAAAAAAGCATTATTTTTATTCTAGTACACCCCAAAAATAAAATCAAGACTTCGTAAAAGGGCATATTAGGACCCCTTTAAGGCGCGTTCACACAGAGTACAATAACTATAACAATATTATTAAGTAATATTAAAATTCTGAGATTTCCACACCAGAGCTATTATGATAATGAAACGGGAACTATATTGTTGGAATCACATTCAGAACCAGCTGATGAATGATAAAAAAAAACATTGACTTTAAAGAGCTTGAGGAAGTGGCAAATTACATAGCTGAGGCCCTTAAACAAAATGGTGTTGTCCATTGGCGTGGATGCTAATATAGTTATCGTTATTGTTCTTGGTGTGAATGGCTTTCGACTGGTGTCATAAAAAAACAATGTAGCACTGAGCACTATCCATCTCTACATCACTTTTATCAGTGATATAGTTGTAAAGCCTTTTTGTAATGAGCTCCGCCAGTGCTTCATGTAAGGCTAATTGCTGTGAGGATTTAAAAAGCCCTGGAGATCTGATGTCTCTTAATGACATATGGATTTCCTGTCTTTATATGCTCCTCTGGCACACACATTACTACTACACGCTAGTTTTGTCTCTCAAACCCACAATAAAAATGAAAGTCTGTATTATCTAGAAAATAAATATTTTGTAGATCACCAATCAGAGCTAGAGCTTGCGTGTTTTTGAGTCATGTAGTCATACCTCATGTTCATAGCTTATGTCTGGGCATGTGTGATTCCACAGGGGAACGGCTCAAGGGCAGCGAGGCAGAGCTGGCGGGAGCGGTCGGAGCAGTTAGCATGGAAGAGGGAGACTCCGACTGAATGATGGTCCCACACAACAGATTTTCTAGAACTTTACGGCCTATTCCCCATTACATAGCAGTGTGTGTTTAAAATGCATTTCTTATGCTGAGCTCAGAATGAGTTCACACAACCATATCAGGTGATAATAAGTGTGAGTGTTTGTGTGAGAGAGAATGGTATATAAAGAAAGAATGAGTTGCATGTGTTTACATTGTGGAGTACACAAAGAACATCAAATCCTTCTTTTTTATTATTTTGTTGTTGTTTATTAGTAAACAATTCTTTCTTTTCTAAATTGACTGTCTTTTTCCTTTCTGGGCTTTATGATAAAACATTATCCAATGTCAGTAGGCTTTATTTAAAACTGAACCTTAATCTGTTGTATTTCTCTCCTATCTCATTAATATACATTAAATGGGAGGTTCCAAAAGCAGACTCATTACAGAGGAGAATACAAAATATCACAATTCAAGAGAAATTGTACATCTAAAACTGCAATGCTTTATTAACATAATATATTTTATGTTAATAACTTAATTTGGGTACTTGAGCCAATTTCTTCATAACATACCAAGTCTCAAATATGTGTTTTTCCCCAGAATTATTCTGCCAGTTTTCACAAACAAAATGATAGACCTACGTACACGTTTTTGGTTAAAAGACAAGTTGTATGAACAGCACAAGTCTTTGACAATAAAGTGCATTCATTATCCTCTCACTGTAACATGGCTAAAACTAAGAGACTGAAGAACTATGACATTTCACATTAAACGTAAACTTATCCTAATAATCCCAGAAAGTTAATACTTCTATCTCATTCATTTAAATGTATATTATGTTGCACGGTTGTACATTTATTACAAATGAATAATGAAAACATAGAGTATATATTAATGTTTAAGAGGAACATTTTATTCAGTGTGGTTTACTCTCAAACCGAAAAATGAGATGTTCACCACTAAGAAATGCTATTGCACATTGTTGTCAAGTATAGTTACATTCATTCTTATCTTTAGCAGATGCTGGCTTAATTTTCTTGCAGTCAAATAACTCAAGAACTATCCAGTTCATGAATCACCCCTTCAGATGGCTGAAAATGTGACCTTTCGGTTATTAGCCTGGATCTTAAAATGCTAAGCTACCACCTTTGCAGAGAAATAAAGTCAGCAAATGCTGATTTTGTGCAATTCGGCTCAACTCGCATCCATTTTACCTAATAAAAGACGGATCGACTGGTTCTACATACATAACATAATCATGGAAGTCCACACCAACCATACACACACAAACATATTTTGGCCATTACTTCCTAAATATTATACCAAATAATTTTGTTGTTTTTGAGTAAATATCAGTATAAACTTTAAGCGATTAAGATACTGTGGTCTCTTATGTTGTGACTCCCAAGATTGACTGAAATAACCTTTTTCCTGTGGAGAATTTGTGATATTTTGAACTTACGTTGATGGAGAGCTTGTCTTGAAACTGGTGGTGGTGGGTGTTGGTGAGACTTTGACATGCAGATCAGCTATGGATAAAGCCATTGCTAGATATGTGGCATCACTGACGTTTCCAGAACTGCAGCCCTTGAGTAGGATTGGAAGCCTCAGCCACAGGCTGAAAAGTGCAAGGCTTGTCCATCTACACCTAATGCCATTTCTGGTCCTGCGTTACTTGTGAGGGTTGATGGTATGCATTAACTTTTGTTTTCATTATGTCCTCCTGTCTCAATTTTTCTTGCAGCAGGGCCCAGCTCCACCTTGCACACTCGCTGGGCAAACTTTAGCGAGCACAGGGTCTCTCCGACGTTGCTCTCAAGAGATGAAACCTAAAGAAGACAAAATATTTTTACAGTAGTAAAATTTGACATTACTCTGTAGGGGGTTGTTTAACTCTGTGATCCATCAAATGGCATTCCCATGGACTACCTATAGACCATTCAAGAACTTTGAGGGATATTTTTACAAAACATGGAACAAGCTGGTTAAAATTGCTTTAGTACATACAATTGTTTAAGTACAAGGTTTTGTTTAGAATATGAGTGCGTAGAGTAGAAATTCATGAGTCAACACCATTGCTGAGTATTTTCTCAAAACTGTAGTGAAAAAAAGACAGTCTCAAAAACATGGTTTGAAATCGCCAGTGTTTTTAGGTCACAAACTTTCTTGTAACCAATCACATCAACGTGCCGGCGGGCTTTAGCATATCATTAACTGCTGCGAAGCAGGGGAGTTTCAAGAGAAGCCAGGTTATCCCGGTATGTATATTTTTCCGTTGATATGAAAAATCTGGTACATTTAGCAATATAGCGAGTGGATTATGTATGTGATGTATATTACAATGTTATGATGAACTATATGCCTTTCTCCACTATTCAAAGTGTTTCTAAGGATACTGATTTTTAGATGGCAGACTGAGATGGCGAACGGGGTTAATTACGGTTATGTGTCGAACGTTCTAGAGAACGTTACATAAAACGCATTACTATTCTGATACATCGACTTGTAGACAAGCCTGTATGAGTGAGTGGAGGCGGGGCACATTTGCATATTCATGGCTCAGCGTATACTAAATGAGGCAAGTGTACTACAAATGTAATTACATTCAAGTTATTTTAAGGCATGAATAAAAAAATTCTCACAGGAAAAAACTTTAAATATGCCATTTTGGTAATCAAAGATGAGATTTAAGGGATACAATTATTGACTACAGGGGGACTTTAAGAAAAACTGAGAAAAAAGGAGCTTTTTGCCTATGCAGTACAGAGCATTTTTTTTTTATTAGAATTTTTGTTTTTGTCTCCCGCACATTGATAGTGTCTGCCCTGAAGACAAACTATATTAAATATTCTGGAAATTGAGTGGATGTGTGCCTTGTTTCCACCTGGTTTGGCAAGTAATTCAAATGACCACTTGAGGATATCGTTAAACTCTACATTTCTTTAGCAGAGGTTTGTTGTGTGGGTGCTACCTCCCTGAAATTAGTTTTTTCAAGGCAGAATGTCTAAACCCCATTGGCATCATATGAAAAAGAATGAACTGTTGTTAGATATAGATTTCGGTCAGCTACCTTGGCCCTGTCCTGTCTAATTTGGTGTTACAGTATAGACCAGACTTTGTGCTGATAGTCAAATGGGTTTTTCACACTGCACTTAACCCTGGGCTAACCCAGGGTTTCACATTTGTCATTTGGAAAGGGGCTTAGCACAGCTAAGCTAATGGGGTTAACTTGTGAGTCTTGGTCCTTGTACCTGAACAACCATGGCGGTTTTGTTGCCTTTTCCTAGTGAGTCCTGCAGCAGGTAGGTGAGTCGTGAGTTCCTGAAGGGTATGTGAGTCTGGTGGGCCCTAAGAGCTTGGATCACATCTCCTAGAGCGAGCAGTGAGCGGTTGATATTCTGGGCTTCCTTCAGTCTTTCCCCCTCTGCCCCAGACTTCCACACCCTTTCAGAACCAGCCAGATCCACAAGATTCAGCTTGCCTGCAAAGGAGAGGTCAGGGATTTTGGATATAGAGGGCTTTTTGAGCGGAAATCAAGACTTTTAAGAACTCGCAACTCAAGCAATCTAAAGATCCAGAGTCGTTGAGACTGACCGGTGGTTTTGGCTCCACTGGCGAGGTCTGTGCCCAGCACAGTCACAGTGAGCAAGGCATGTGATCGAGAGCTATGCTGATTCATCTGCGTTCCAAATGTAATCCTGTTCTTTCGAGCTATGGCCAAAATCTGCAAAAAAAACCAACAGATTATAGGAGAGACGTTTTTTGTATAGTCAGCATTATCTTGACAGATGACACCCTGGGACTCACTTTTTTGATATGCTGGAAGCTTTTGACCTCATTGACCCTGAGTCCTGGCACATGGAGCTGTCCTGTCCCATCAGGGTTGATCTTGATGTCAAGCTTCTCTCCATCCTTACTTAGTAGATCTCTGTTGTTAACAACCAAAAAATTGTTAACAATTGAATTGTATCAAAGGGTTAGTTCACCCAAAAATGAAAACTGTCATTATTTACTCAACCCTCCTGCCATTCTTAGACTTTAGTTCATCTTCAAAACATAATTGAAGAGATTTGTTCACTGTTCCTTGCTGGTTGTTGTATTCTTCATTTGTAAGTCGCTTTGGATAAAAGTGTCTGCTAAATGAATAAATATAAATTTAAGTGCAGTTGAGCTTCCGTTTACCATATTTAATGTGTTCTATGGATGTGAGTTGATCAGTGTTTAAATGTAAAATTACATTTAAATCAGTACATAACATAAAGCAGGACAGAAATCTCGCAGGTTTCGAATTTGTGTTTCAAGGATTAATGAAAGTCTTATGGAATTGGAAGTTTACGACATAAGGGTGAGTAACTGATGACATAATTTTTTTTCTAATATTTGGGAGAACTAACCCTTCAATATTCCTCATAAACATCAATTGAACGACAGGTTATTGCATGATCCAATAGCTCGAATATTTACTTAGATGCTTCTAACATTTAATTGAATAGGCCATCATTTATTTGAAATTCAAAAAAGTTGTAGATGGAGACCACCACAGAATTTTTCATGATAAAGAGGTAGAATACAATACCTCAGGACCTCGTTGTAAATTTCCACTGAACTGACACTGACGGTATATGTCCACATATCTTTTCTTTCCTCAATCTCATTGAACAGATGTTTCAGGGCTCGTTGGTTGATACCGGGGTTCTCAACAGTACCCTGAGCAGACACGGATGGTTAATGAGACCTGACAGTCTTATTGAATAATTAATGGAAACAGATCATCTGGGTCAAAAGTATGAAATCGGAACCATGTGTTATGACAGGTATATAGTTACAGATATATTACCTCCATAGTATAGGTCTTGCCAGATCCTGTCTGGCCATAAGCAAAGATGCAAACATGATACCCATCTATACAGGATGTGATGAGCGGCTCAATTTCCTGGAACACCTAAGAGATAAAGAATGGTATAAAATATACATATCAAAAACATTACTAAAAATGCTTTCTTGATCAATTAAAGGTATAGTTCACACAAAAATGAAAGTTCTGTCATCATTTACTCAAGTTGTTCCAAACCTGTATGAGTTTCTTTCTTCTGCAGAACTCAAGATATTTTGAAGTATATGGGTAACCAAACATCAATCAATCCATAGTTTGGAGGAAGAAAAATACTATGGAAGTCAATAGGCTCCATCAATTGTTTGGTTACCGACATTCTTCAAAACATCTTCGTCAGCAGAAGAAAACAATTCATACAGGTTTGGAACAATTTGAGGGTGAGTAAATTATGACAGAATTTTCATTTTTGGGTGAACTATCCCTTTAAGCAAGCTATACTGTAGGGATGCACTATGTATGGTACCCTAACGTTTATTGGCTGGTTTTAGAGATTTATTGCTACACTTTATACTTTTTGGATATCGTCTTGTGCATGCTTTTCCCGAATTTCATCTAATGCTCACTTAATCTTAACAAATAACTTAATTACACTACAGTGTAATCTTAAACTAATCTCAAAATGAATGTAGTATACATTTTTAATAATGTTGTGATGCTTAAATTCACTTGTAGCATTTAAAAAGCATTTTTATTAATTTAGACAAAATAGTATAGAATTTTAGTATCGGCCATGAAAATAATGACTAATTTAGTGATAGCAACGAGACATTAAATATTAATGCATTATTACTATAGGCTACTGATGTTTATAGGCCTATTAAGTCTTTTAGTATTTCATGTGAATATGACTTTTACTCTGCTTACCTCATCTTGAGTGGCCTGAGGGTGAAATACTTTATCAAGCTCAAAGTTTTTGGCCTTTCCCTTGCTTAAAACTGTGAGTGCAGATTCATTATTGGGGTCTGTTGTCACAACTACCGCTTGGCCTTCCTCATGTTGATCTTCCTTCAGTACTGGCTTTACACGGCACAGAACACGAATATTACCTGGTGGAAAAACACATACACACAAAAAAAAAAACTTTTCTTATATTTTGCTTAAGTCATATGGACAGAAATGGTAAAAATGGCCATAGCTGCCAACCTTTAAGCTCAACCAGCTGCTCGTGGTACTTCCTGCGGAGTGCTACCTCCTTTCTGTATTTTTCCAAAAGGTCTTTGTTGGCCTCTGACATCTCAAATATAGCTGCCATTATCTAGGGAATAATGTTGTAATATTAGAAAAAAATAAAAAAATTTTTTTAGAAATGAAAGCAACAAATAAAATGTGCCAATATCTAACTCTTCGATCTCAGAAGTTGTACATTTAGTACAGGTTTGTGCAGCAGTAGATATTTGCTTACCTGTTTCTTGGCTTCTTTGATAGCTGTTCCATAGAAGTCAGAAAAGTTGCGGACCTGACTGCGCAGGCTGGCATAGTCGGTCTTCATGGAGCGTAACGTGGGAGGGAGAGCACTCAGACGCTTCTGGAGGGCTGGAAATTACATATAAACATGCGCTGAGCCATACACATTGCCGCACATTTAACAATGTCAACAATAGGGGTGCTCATGAGCACACCTAAATCATATGTCTTGTGGACTTCACAAGTGTAGCGAACACTATAGACCAGGGATGTCAACATTGGTCCTGGAGTGCTGCTGTCCTGCAGAGTTTAGCTCGAACCCTGATAAGAAACCTCCCCTGCCTGTGGCCTTAGCTGAGATGGGCTTATTATTGGGGGATACGAGGGTCCGTGGCTCTACCTTTGGAAAAAGCGTAATGGCTAATCACGTGTGCCTTGATAACTAATCACATTACAGCCTTGACATAATTGAATATCGTTCAGAGTTGTGCGACAGTCAATCACTGTTTGCGGACAACATAGAAATGAATGAGAAGTGCCATAAACTGAACCCTACCTGTTGCGCAATTGTCCATGACTTCTCTTATGAGACAGCATTTTTTTTTGGTGTAAACTTTAAAAATAGATCAATCGAAAACAAATGTGCTAACATGCTGAAGATTAGCCGATGGGCTGTCGATTCATTACATGATAAGCTATTTCCTCACAAAAGCGGTTATATTCAGCGTAGTGAAGCCTCTCCTCCATCGACAAACATTAATTTTTAAAGAACAGGCATGAACCATCTATTAAGATTTGTAGTAACAGTAAACTCACTTATGAACTGGTTCTGCAGGCTCTGGAGATGCTCCTCAGAGCAGTTGGCTGCAGCTTTTACTGCTGCCTCTTTCTTTTCCTCAAGATGTCCAATCTCCTTCAGTAGTTCCTCCCTCAGGGTCCCAATCTCCCTCTCATATGCAGCAATCTGTGGAGCCATTGCTTTTTTAGAAGAGCTGAGGTTTTCTAGTTGTGTTCTGACATGGACTGTATAATTCATGAATTTTGTATCTAAGATTGCATCAACAGAGGCTGTTAAGATCTTTAGCTTCAAGTTATACAGTATGTACCATCATAAAAACAAATGGATAAAGCTTAGAAACCTTGTGTTGCAAATTGCAGCTGACTTCATCTGAATGTCTGATGTTCTCCTCCAACTGTCTGCATCGTTCGCTCTGGTTGCTTAGCTTCCCAGAAAGCTGTGCATTCTGTTGTCTGGCTTCAGATAGTTGACGCAGAGTTGAAGGCGACTCCACCTCAACGGTTTGGGTAACATACTAGAAGACAGAAAAAAAAAAAAAAATTATTACTATAGATTCTCATTCTAAAGTGAGTGCAAGACACCCCGGAGTGCAAGACAAATCATCAATATTTTTGGTCCGTTTTCTTGTAATACACTAAACACCTATCTATCTTTTCTGTATGTGTGTGTGTATCTGTTAAAAATCAATTTGATCAAGTTTGTTGTGGCTTTTTGTAGGTTTTAGGTTCATATTCTTGCATTTTTCTTACTTTAACCACAGGCTCCTTGTTGCGTTCTTTGTCTAGTTCAAGCTGCAGATCTCTCACACTCTCCTCTCGTCTCCTGAGCTCTTCTGCCTTCCTCCATTCGCTCTGCTCTTTCTGGTGCTCCAGAGTTGACAGCTGCTCTGCCCGCAGCTGCAGTGAACTTTCCAGCTGCAGAACACGACTGCGCAAGTTCTCATTTTCCTATAGGGTACAATAGTATACTAATAATTCATATAATTCATCCAATCGGTGCATATACACATAATGACGTCCAAGCTATGTCCATATACAACTGCACCTCACAGGCTGCATTTTGTATTTGATTTAAAATAGAAAGTAATAATAGAATTTTTTTTATACTTTTGTAGAATCACTTTGTTCATTCATTTCACTGTAAAGAAAGCTACAATTGAAAATGTGGAATACTTGAAACTACATAAAACCCATGTTAGAACAACAAAATTCCCCCAAATGTTGTCCCTCCTAGTCAAACACAGTCGTATGAACATTGTATTAAAAAAGTTATGGGAGTTCCCAGCATGCATTGCACCATTTTATGATTATTGTTTTGCTGAATGCATGTTGAATTGAATTTTCAAGTTTTTTTCAAAATATCCTTTTTTACAGTGTATAATATAGGTAAAAACAAAAAAACAAAAAAAACACGCTAATCAAATTGTTTCAAAGACCACAGGGAGTATATTTTTTGCTTTTGTGTGGTTTCAGTTGTTTGAAAATTTAAATGTAGAAAATTTGCTTGCAGATTTTACAAACATGTAAAGTGAATGGTTAGTGAATGACAGCATATGTCTATGGGCCACAGAGGTGAGGCGTACTACATATGTCACAAGGGAGGGGGTAAGGACAACAGTCAGGAGTGTCATATAAGTTTCGTTGTCATCAGTTACTGTACCCAATGCATTAAAAGACATTCTCACCTTGATGAGCACAGAGCTGGACTGGGATGGGATGACCGACAGTTGCTGCAGAAGACCCTGCGTCACTGTGAGGCTGTGTTTCAAACTCTCATTCTCTGCTGATAAGCAAAGCACTCGTTTTTCAGAGTCTGTTACTCCCTGGTGAAAGAAAAAACAGAAAAAAGTCACAGCTGACCTGGAAAAAAAAGTGTCTGATAGAACAACCTAGATTAGCTCTTGGTCACGAATCATTTTGAGACTGTCTGGCCTGGTTTCAATGTGCTCAGTTTCAAATGCAGAGCACTGGAACAGATTCTTCCAAATGCTTACTGATGTAACTCTGAGTTTGGACAGCTCCTCTTCTCTTTCCTCAATACAGCTCTTCAGCTCATCAATCTACAGGGAGAAAATCAATTGTGTCAGTTTAGCAAGTCTGGAAAGAAAAATGAGTGAAGAGGATGGATGAAACTGAATAAACCGATGGAGAGGTAGCTGAATGGATGAAATATGCAGACTTATTACTGTCTGGATAAAGGTAAAACAGAGATGCTTTCATGATCATTGGTGAGGTAGAAAGAGGAATAAGTGGAGATGTGCTGTGAAAGCATCACTGATTGCATGAATACATGTTGTGGGTTGAATGATAGTATGAATGTATAGAATGAGTGACTGGATGAGTAATGCTCATCACCTGCTGTTGGAAGGCCTGCACTTTAGTGTGCCGATCTCGTTCTCTCTGCTCAAGCTGTGAATGAAGCGATCGCAGCTCTCCTCTCAGTTGACTCCTCTCTCCCTGCAGCCCGCATAGAGATTGAACCAACTTATGCAACCCAACCGGAGATGATGCAGGTAGCATGTACTCACCTACACACAAACACACACATGGCATGACCGTTTAGAATGCAATTTCAAAAGAAGCTAGTTCATCTGGCATAAGGAGTGGCTTACCAATATACAATCCTACCATTCGGACTGTCCCTAGCTCCGTGACTTTTACAAAATGTCTGGATGCGGCCCTCTCCCCCGTGAGACAGTTGGGAGTACTCATCCTGAAATACCTCGATGATTGGTTGCTCTTAGCCCAATCGAAGAAAAAACTATGCATGCACAGATCTTAGCTCCTCAGCCACTTGGAAAGTCTTGGACTCGGCCCAAATGCGGGCCTGGATTCCACTGGAGCGCTCTCTAAACATTCAGAGGCTAGCGGCATCTTTCAGAATTGGGGATATCCTTCCCCTGAAAATGTTTCAGAAGCTACTGGGCCTCATGGCAGCAGCCTCCTCAGTAGTTCCCTTGGGTCTGTTACATGTTCGGTCACTACAACACTGAAGGCCCACGTCCCATCTCAAGTGTGGTGCGAAGGCCGCCTCATTCTCAGGGTGAACAATGGTTTTGCCAAATCCCTGGAAGGGGATCTTGAGTAATTGTCTCTGTGTCTGTATAGGCACAATACATGTTATTAGCTGTGTTTCCATCCAAAGTTGCGAATTTAAATTTCCGCTCAAAGTTCAAGATTCTAATAAAATTTCAAACATTTCTCATCTGATTCTTTTGCTATTCACATTAATTTTATATTTGTATCATATGTTTTGGCTTCTGCTCTTCTGTTCATGTCTCTTATCAGTATGCATTCTCACAGTCATATGCTGTGTTAATGCCATGTCGGAATTACGTAACGTTTTATAGACGGTTTCATCGAACGCACGCGCGTTGCCCGGGTTACGCGCTGGCCCGAAGTTAACTTCCGGTCTGTGTTTGTTAACCGGTAATATCATAATATCATAATATCATTCTCTGGTAATATGGCGCCGACTACAAACGCAGTGAAAATTAAGGTGATGAGCAGACTGAAGTTGGGCTCAGGTTGTTGTGTTGTGGGATGCAACCTGAGGCTCTGGGACAAATACCTTATCAAAAATAAAAAAATTCGTTTTCCTAAAAACGAAGGGAGACGGCGAGCGTGGATCACCGCTGTGCGATGAGAGGCTTGGCAGCCAGGCAAGAATTCAAGGATCTGTAGCACTCACTTCGTTACAGGTAACAAACTCATGATAAGCAACAGATAATTATGGAAGCTTGTTTCCGGCCATGAAGAATAAAAAAATAATAATAATTGAGACTTTTTATCTCATAATTGCGAGATAAGAAGTCCGAATTGTGAGAAATAAAGTTGCAATTCTGAGAAATAAAGTCGCAATTGCGAGAAAAAAAGACAGAATTGAGACTTTTTATCTCACAATTCTGACTTTTTTCTCACAAAAAGTCTATGGTTTCTACAGATGAACTCTGTTGTTATTGACTCTACCGGAAGTTAAGTTTGGGCCACAAAAGCGCGCATGCGCAGTAACGTTTGTTTATGTTGTTGCCGTTGAAACCGTCTATTCAGAGCTTTATTCAGGTCGTTGGACTAGGAATTATGCGTTTTTATGTCAACACTATCAACGCCTAAATTAATCTGCAGAAGTCAGGTGGTACAATGCTAATCTGGTACAAGCAGGTTGTAATTACGAGCACTACGAGGACGCGAAGGCTCTTTACAATTTGAAATCTCTTAATTACGTTAATTACACATGGCGTGAACACACCTTTACTTCCTGGTTTTGTCATGTGATTGCCTTACCCTCACATGATCTTGCACTTTGGTTCTTCGTCTCATGTGTCATGTTTTGATTGGTTCCTTTGTTTCATGTCATGTGTCATGTTCTTAATGGTTCATCGTGTTCATTGCTTTCACGTGTGTCTTGTTATATCATAAGTCCTTAGTATATAGTATATCCCTTATGCTCCCATTGTCTCTTGTCTGGCTTTGTTTGAGTGACCGCTGCTTGGCAAGACAAGTCTTTGTTTATTTTGTATTGGATTATGTTTGGTAAATAAAGCTGCACATGGGTTCGTTAAACTCGCCTCCCAGTGGATTTGTTACAATAGTGCTGTTCTAATTTCTATTTCTTATAAGAAATGTAAGGAACATAACTGAAAACTCTATTAAGCAGCCTCTGAGCCACACAACTTTCCTCTGGGTTAGCTTAAGACTCAAGACCCGTTTTGAACTCAAAGACTTGTGCAACTTGCCTGGCAGCCTAACTGCTCTGCAACATTTTATTTAGATTCCCGCCATTTATTATTGATATGCCGAGTCAGAGTTGTCTTTTCCTGTGCTGTACAATAATTACTGAGGCAGGCGTCGTCAGATATGAGCTTCCAGTCTCGGGTGGAGCAAGTCTATCTATTGGTGGGAAGGATGAATGGAGACACACAGGGACGCCACCGCAAACGTGATGTGGAACAAACGTGATGTGGAACAAACGTGATGGTGGAACAGGCTTGAACAAAAAATGCTTTAATTCCTGACAACATTTCATGGTGGGATTAATGTAGTGAGTATGAGCTATGGGCTAATTCAGATATGGGCAGACATGGAACACATGTAACTCAAGCCCATTTCATGCCTAAATTGGCTCCACCAAGAAATGTTGGCTGGGATATTTGATTCTGAATGATTTTGTGGTCAATATTTCTGTATTACAATTGACCGATACTCCTTGAAACCGATTTCCTAGCTGTGCTTTTTTCATCGTTCTCCTCCTCACATAAAATAAAACTTAAATCATGAGAGCATGGTCTACTCATTTTATGCTTTCGTTGTTAAAAGCTGAATTTCCTCTAGGCTGTACACTGGATTTATATAGTATCTTACAGCAGTGCACGTGAAGTTCAGCTGTGCTAGTTTGTAAGTGCACTTGCATTTGTAAGAGAAGCAGCTCTCACAATGTTTTATTCATCTTTGTGAGCCACAGAGAAACATGCCAAGTGCTGTAGATGTACCAGCCAGGCAAATGGGTATTTTTACTACATGCTAATAAAAGGTATTGATGTCTCATGAGCCACAAACACATGTATTCCCATGTCAATTAGCCATCTGATTAATATGATTCATACTGTATCTGTATTTCATGTGGCTAATGATTTCATGTGGATTCATTGAAAATGTCTCCAGACATGTGGGTGTCATGACGAAGGGCTCAAGGTTTGGTGGGTTAGCATAGCCCAGATTGCTGGTATATAGCTATAACTACCTATTTTTCTCATTTGATGGAAATACATTTTACATATATTTCATTAGTAGAAATTTTAACAATGCTGGTTCTTTTTGGGAGGGATGTTTACATTTTTTCTGTCTGCTACCTCTCAAGAAACAGGATCATTTCTAGTGAAGGGTTTGTGAGCATTTTTGGAGTGTCATCAACCAACCAGAATTGTTATGATGTAATTATGCAGAATGTGCAAGAGATGAAAAGGAATGGATAGCTTTAGCCAGGTAGCCAAGTACACAAAGCCAAGTACACAAAGCCAAGTACATCTGACATTGAATTAGTGCAAGAGACGTGCATTTTAAACACACGCAATGTTTGTCTGAGGAGAAACAGACCGCCAGAGAGTCCAGATTCCCCATATAGCTCTGAGGTCACTGCCAGGTGCGGTTTCTAAAACCATCAATCTGCTATTTTTGGCACTTTTCCCCAGTATTCTCATTTAATTAAAGTACAATTTTAAGCTGTCCACATGATGTGAACAGGTCATTATCTCTTCCCTCATTGACGTCAAACAAAATTCTGAATCCAAAAACAAACAATGAGATCATCGGGGGCCAGATTCACAAAACATTCTAACTTAAAGTGCCCCTATTGTGCTATTATTAAAGGTTCCTAATATTGGTTTGGAGGTCTCCTACAATAGGTTTACATGCATCCAAGGTCAAAAACACTTTAATTTTTTTCATAATATACATTGAACATCACCTAATTTCTCTGGTTCATTTGAAGATTCAGAACAGTCAGTAAAATGAAAAGATCTTATTCTTATCATTATATGTGAAAAATAATAATTCAAACTTTAAAAATAAAAGTTCATGATTTATGTAATGCTCCCTGTTGTTTGTGTTTTTTAGGATCAGTGTGTTATGAATGAAATGCATGTTTTCTGAATGAGAATTGTTGCCAGTGTTATGGTGGAACGAGCTTATTTTGAGACATGAATAAAGTGTTTTGTTGGTCTGAGGTGAGATTAACTGTTTAGAATGAGTGACTGGATTCCTAGATTCATCTTGGTAATGCAGACTGCATGAAGAGTTTTGAAAATGTGGCTTCAATATTGACTGATGCTTGTTAGCAATAATAATAAATAAAAAAAACCTGTAATGTTACTGAAAGAATATTTGTTCATAACTTTGAAAAACCTTGCCCGAACGTTAGCTAAAGTTCTGAGAAAGTTTCCTTTTAGCTGGGTAAAGCTATATACGGTAATGTAAAAATAATTTGAGTGTGTACCACAGTTTGTAAAATAAATATATAAATAAAAATGGGATGACAGACATGTATACAATGTAAGTTTAAATATTCAGAAACATTCTTTTAATGTAAAGGCTGAATCTTTCAGACAGACCAAACAGCAAAGACAGAAACAGATGGGTATATAACATAATTTGTTGATTCTGGAACAACATTCCTGTCTGAAAATTTGGTCGTAACCATATCCCTACCCCGAAACCTAATCCTACCCATAAGTTACCCCAAAATCAGAGGGAAATGATAGGTGAATAGCAGTGATGTAGAAGCATCTAACCCTGGTTGTAAGCCTAAACTTGACATAAACTGTAAACTTTTCCCTAAAATCTGATTGGTTGTATGGAATGTTGTTCCAGGATCAACAAAAATGTTGATCCAGGAACATGTTGTACTTGATGAAATCAGGTTCTGAGTAAGGCAAAAGACAGCCTCCAAAAAATCAATGAATGTCAAGGTACAGTACATAAAGAGAGGCATCTAATATTAAACTCATCATTATCCAATGCTAAACTCTTCACACTGAGATTCTGTGATTTATTTAGTTTCAAAAGGTCTCACCCTCATTTTCAGGTGATGGGCTCGGCTGCTGAGCGATCACTTCCTCCAGGTTGTTAATCACACTGTTCTTGTCTCTGAGGCGCTGGCGGTAGGACGTACGCAGGGCCTTCATCTTCCGCCGGTGCTGGGCACGGTGTCTGCGTAGCTGCAGACGGTACTGATCAGCCTGCTGCTGCAGCTGTTGCAGGTGGGAATATTGCTCCAGGAAGCTCAGGAGGTGGGACATCACAGACAGCAATGGAGACTCTGTCACCTGGAAAATACACATTTCATATTTACTCAACTATTACAAAATAAATGTGCACTTATAAAAAAAAAATGCTTTTACATGTTTCATTACATTTCTACACTTTCTTTCAGAAAATGTGACAGGTGTTTCCAGGAAAAAGATATGTTAAGGTGTTGTGGAGGTAAAACAAAAGCTGAAATAAAATTAATGTAAACTCTAAAGACATTAAAAAAACTAAAACTATTAAAAATGACAAAACACAACAAAAATACTAAACATTTAACTAAAATGAAAACAGAAAATAAAAACGAATTCAAATTATCAATAAAACCCATGATAGGAAGCCAATTATACTAAAATATTATATTTATTATATTACATTATGCTATAAAAATGATAGAAAATGATAGAAAAATAACAATGCTTGGTGATGAAGGACACAAAAAAGGACAGCAAATCTCGAATTTTTCACTAATGAAAATGAGGCTGTACAGTACAGTATGTTCAATAGGCTGTACTATAATGTAAGTAGCTACAGACTTTATGCCTATCCATTCCAGCCTCATTTTCATTAATGAAAAATGAAATATGGCATCTACCCTGACTAAGGTCTAATGAGCTCCTTAAGTTTGACTAGGGGCCATGCGTCAATGTAAGTCTTTTTTTCAGCCATTTTATCAATTTTGCTCATTTTGAAAAGTAATAACCAAATTTGAAGCATTATTCATAATCATAGAACAAACTGTGAATTATATGTGGCAAAGTTAAATACATGATGTTTTATTAACAAAGTTCGGGAGAAGCACGTTCTGATAATTAACACGGGTGGAGAGCACTCAGCAATCATGATTAAAATGTTTCATTAACAAAGTTCGGGAGAAGCACGTTCAGATAATTAACACGGGTGGAGAGCACTCAGCAATCATGATTAAAACGTGTACATATAGACTCAGCAGTCTCACCTAATTTCTCTGACAGTTTAGCAGCGTCCCTCCACCACCCCTTCTCCACTCTTCTAGTCCTAAACCACTTACATACGGGGGGGAGTACTCTGGGTTCGGGCCGAATTCCGAGCTCGAAGCCCTCCCCCCGGACAGCACGCCAAATACGCATTATACTTTATTCCCTTTAATTGTATGTAAGTGTGAACTCGTGAAATACTGTAGGCAGAACCTGATTTCACCAAGTGCAACATGTTCCTGGATCAACATCTTTGTTGATTCTGAAACAACATTCTAATCAACCAATTATGTCAAGTTCTGTCAGCACCACTATCGTCAAAGATGATTGACAATTAGCATACAGTTTGGATTGGCGGTATGGTTCTGTTCTGGACGAGAACTCCCTGCGCATCCATGCAGCCTAGCATGGATAAGATCAGGGAGAGCAGCGATAACCCGCCTTAGGTTAAACAGAACAGAACCAACATGAATGTATGCAGATATCATTAATGTCACTATTTTAATATACACCATAATTTGAGAAATGAGTCTGATTCAAGAGGAATCAGAATGCCAAATACAGACTGCATGAGAGGAGGAGCTGGGGATGGAGGAGGGTAATTCGCTCCTGAGAAACGGGATAGCTGCTGATAATACTGAAGGAGCTTATATATGGATGCTGTGATAGGCGTTGCATTCCTATAAGTTGACGTGGATCAGCTGAGAATCAGCTGATGCGAGCTTGACTAATGTGACCTGCCAGAACTAACGCTACGCTTGATTTTAGGCTTACAACCAGGGTTTGGTGCTTCTACATCAGTGTTATTCATCTATCATTCCCCTCTGATTTTAGGGGTAACTTATGGGTAGGGTTAGATTTAGGGGTAGGGAAATGGTTATGATTACATTTTCAGACAGGAATGTTGTTGCAGGATCAACAAAATATGTTGACACAGGCATTTCACGAGTTCACACTTACATACAATTAGACGGAGTAAAGTTTAATGCGTATTTGGCGTGCTGTCCGGGGGGAGGGCTCCGGGCTTGGAATTCGGCCCGAACCCAGAGTACTCCCCCCCCCCCCCCCCCTCGTATGTAAATGGTTACGACTAGAAGAGTGGAGAAGGGGTGGTGGAGGGATGCTGGAAAACTGTCAATGGATTGAGGTGAGACTGCTGAATCTATATACACCTCTTATCATTGGTTGCTGAGTGTTCTCCACCCGTGTTAATTATCTGAACGTGCTCCTCCCGAACTTTGTTAATAATAGGAATGTTATTTACATTCATATTGTGCATATTATTCCAACTCAGCAAAATCAGGACGTGCCATACTGTAGAGCTAAGGGTCTGCTGAAATACTACCACCACCAAATCACCACTACTATTAAACATGGTACATGTGAATGTAGTTAGAAGGTCTTCACCTTTTCACTAGGTTCTGTTGGAGAATTAGTGGCTCTTCTCTTTTCTGCCTCTTGCTTGAAAGACAGGAAAGCTGTTAATGGTGTTTTGGCAGGTAATCCATGACCTTCATCAAACTCATCATCTTCATCACTGAGAGACGCCCCATCACTATCACTGCTGCTGCCTGCAATTTAATAGGTGAATGGTTGAATGCTGATTATGTGGAGCAGCACTTCATTGTATTTAGAACATCATCACGCAACAAAACATTCTTACTTGAATCACTCAGTCTTGCACACCCTCTTTTGCCCAACCTGGGGGTGTGGCTACTCTTCCCCTTGCTCTTTGTTTCCATGGAAACATGGCCAGGCTCCTGTCAGTTACAGAGGGAGACGAATGTGATTATTGGAAGGTGTTAAAGCCACCACTGAGGACATGCGATACGTGACTGTAAGTGTGCATGCGTGCATAATCAAATTATCACCTGAATGAAATTACCTATAGTTTCTATATTGATTTTTATATTATTTATTCAATATATTATATTATAATCAATCATTCTATTTTTCTTGTTTGCATATATTGTACAGAGGACAATAAGGAATGCATATATTAGCATGTCTATCGACGTGTGTTCATTGCGGCCAAACAAACCTCCGGGGATTCTCCATACGCCCCCTCGAGCGCTGCCTCCTCCTCCTTTTTAAAGACGGTGTAGAAGATGTACACCAGCAAAGAATAGAAGGCATACATGTTTCCTGATATGCGAGTGTTACAACAACAGTGGCTGGAAATAAATGCTTTTGCTTCACAGCATCTCTCTGCTCTTCCCACACTGCAATACAATCAGACAAGTGTTACTAAACCGCAGCTCCAGAAGCAAATCCACCACAACAAATCCTGTCCGGATGCAGATGGCATTCCCATGTTGTCAAGCTCCTTAGAATGATGCTATTCCCATTGTTTTGCAGAGTCTCACCGTCTGCTGAGGTTGATACTCCACAACTGCAGTTACTGCATTCCCATTCTTCCACTCTGAAGCTCTACATGGTGATTCTGCAGGACCGCTTGTGCCTGTTCACCAGTGTTTCGGGGCTTTGGATGGCAACACTAGCTCTTGACTCCGCACATCTGTCCAACCTGCTATTCCTGGCTTCCTTTTCCCCCTCCTTTTTCTCCTCCTCTCTCATTATCCATTCCTCTCCTCCCCCCTCCTCTCTCTTCTCAGCAGGGTTTGAGAACGCTCATCGCAGATGTGTAGTGCACTGCAGTGGTGGGGTGAAGCTGATAGAGATTGGTGAGAGAAAGAACAGGTAGTCAGATGCTCAACAAAGCGCTCTGATGTTGCTATATTCAAAGTGACAACCATATATGGATTCTACGGTAACGAATCATGCAGAACCATAGGTTTGTTCCTTCTATAGCTTCACCACAGCAAGATTTAAGAAGTTTATTAAGTTCTGATGATGATATTTTGTGCCTGTAAGCAGAATACTGTGGTAATGATTAGATTTAACTGGGACATGAGGACCGGGGTGACCACTGTTCTAGATGGTTGAATGGTGTACAAATGGAAATAGCCCAACGAAACGTTTGATGGTAAAAACAAATATTGCTTGCCTAAGGTCAGCTCCCCAGCCACCACACTATGGAGAATATTCAACCCGATCTCACGACCAATTCGTACTAATTTGTACGAGTGGCTAATTCGTAACAATTCATACGACCTGACTCGTATGAATTTGTACGAATTTGTAGGATTTTTGCTAAATCGTACATATTTTACGAATTCCAAATTCGTATGAATTCATACGAATGACCTACCCCTGACCCCGCCCCTAAACCTACCCATCACGTGGGTTTAGACAAATCGTACGAATCCGTACGAGTGAGTTCGTATGAATTCGTACGAATTAGCCACCTTTTAATCATTCGTACAAATTAGTACGAATTGGTCGTGAGATAGCGTTGGAATATTCAATACAATTCAGCTGCATTTTAGACCATGAAACACTAGAGGGCGCACTACATCAGCTGAAATAAATCTGGCAGTGTTCGAAATTGTTTCCTATACCCTCATTGCCTATTCCCTACATTAGTAGTGTAAACAGTGCAGCGCTTCCAGGTTCCAAGTCAGAACGTCGGCTCATTATTGGCCAGCTAAGTCAGCATCACACGTATGTGTCGTGGTGCTCACGTGAACAACGTCAGCCAATAATGAGCCAGTATTCTGACGTAGAACCTGGAAGCGCTGCACTGTATACACTACATCAGGAATAGGCAACTCCGGTCCTGGAGGGCCACTGTCCTGCAGAGTTTAGCTTCAGCCCTGATAAAAACTCACCTGCCGGTATCTATCTAGTAATCCTGAAAACCTTGATTGCCTTGTCCAGGTGTGTTTAATTAGGGTTGGAGCTAAACTCTGCAGGAAAGTGTCCCTCCAGGACCGAAGTTGCCTATCCCTACACTACATGAATAGCATGGGAGAATGATATGGAAGAGATTATTGAATAAAGTCGTTATTTATTTTTATTTTTTGCTCACAAAAAGTATTCTCGTCGCTTCATAACATTAAAGGCTTACTGAAGTGCCTTGGAATGCACAGTTTTGTATGATGCGTTGACGTAATTTCCACTAAAACAGGAAGAAAAGGCGGGACATATTGAATGGCTCCTCCCCATTTTCAAATAGCCAATAGCGTTTAGTTTACCTCACAGACTGCAATTCGTACTTGACAGCACCATGGAAGTAAATCCGAGCGCTGATGATAATTTGGATTCAATAGTAGAGGTGTGAATAAATTCTAGCCATTTTATTCTTAACCAACGTACAGTTTGAGAACGGAATAAAACTCCGTTTGAGCAACCGAACACACATCTCCAACCCATGTTGCTCTATGACGTGTCTACATTTGCTTTGGCCCGGTGGGATTTATAGCACAAGGTGCGGGACGCTTTAGATTCTAGAGAGCATTTAATATAATATAATATAATATAATATAATATAATATAATATGTAAAGCTAAAAATAATTATTTGATCCCCTGGTGAATTTGTAAGTTCGTCCACTTACAAAGAAATTAAGGGTCTATCATTTTTATGGTAGGTTTATTTTAACGGATAGAGACAGATTATTAACGAAAAAATCCGGAAAAAACACATTATATAAAGGTTATAAATTGATTTGCATTCAGTAGGTGAAATAAGTATTTGATCCCCAAGCAAAACATAATTTAGTACTTGGTGGAGAAACCTTTGTTGGCAAGCACAGAGGTAAGACGTTTCTTGTAGTTGGTCACCAGGTTTCCACACATCTCAGGAGGGATTTTGATCTACTCCTCTTTACAGATACTCTCAAAATCCTTAAGGGTTCTTGGCTGTCGCTTGGCAACTCAAAGTTTCAGCTCCCTCCACAGATTTTCTATAGGATTCTGGAGACTGGCTAGGCCACTCCAAGACCTTATTGTGCTTCTTCTTGAGCCACTCCTTTGTTGCCTTGGTAGTATGTTTTGGGTCATTGATTCATTGTCATGCTGGAAGACCCATCCATGATCCTTCTTCAGTGTTCTAGTTTCTCGTCCAACATCTGATGGTACATGGCCCCGTCCATTGGCCACTCAATACGTCAAAGTCGTCCTGTACCCTTAGCAGAGAAACAGCCCAAGAGCATAATGTTTCCACCTCCGTGCTTGACTGAAGGGATGGTATTCTTGGGGTCATAGTCAGCATTTCTCTTCCTCCAAACACGGCGAGTTGATGCCAGAGAGCTCAATTTTGGTCTCATCTGACCACAGCACTTTCTCCCAAGCCTTCTCTGAATCATTAGATGATTATTGTTAAACTTTAAAAGGGCTTCTATATGTGCCTTCTTGAGCGGTGGGACTTTGCGGGTGCTGCTGGATTTCAATTAATTGCGGCATAGTGTGTTACCAATGGTTTGCTTAGTGACTGTGGTCCCAACTGCCTTGAGATCATTAACAAGCTCCTCCAGTGTAGTTCTGGGCTGATCCCTCATCTTTCTCATTATCATCCGTACCCCATGAGGCGAGATCTTGCATGGAGCTACAGACCGAGGGCGATTGACGGGTATTTTGTATTTCTTCCATTTCCGAAAAATGGCACCAACAGTTGTCTCCTTTTCACCAAGCTTCTTGCTGATATGGCACGATGTAACTTCACTGCCGTACCATGCGAGCAGCAGGCGTAATGATATGACGCAGCGCCTGAAAATAGTTCCGTTGTGTTGACGGAAGGTGGCCTATTTTCAGGCGCTGCGTCATATCATTACGCCTGCTGCTCTCATGGTACGGCAGTGAAGTTTCTTGATTATTACGCAGGAATGAGAGTATAGTTCCTAGCCATATCAGCCTAGAAAATCGCAACTTTACATTTTCCGTCGGTCTTAGTGCACGATGTAACTACAGAAGAGTCAAGTTTTAAATAGGAAAAATATCGAAACTCTTTGGTCATTTTTTTCTGAGAAATGCTAATGGTCTTGTCCTCTCCAATGATGTATGCTAAGCTATGCTAAAAGTGGTACCGCCAGAACCGGAGATCGGCTGAATGGATTCAAAAACGGTAAAAACTCACCAGTTTAACTCTGGGGGAGTTGTAAAATGAGCCTATTTCCAAAAAAAGTGGAGTATCCCTTTAAACAGAACAATGCAGGTGTGAACCAGTCACCTCCACAAAAAAAAAAGCTGCACTTGACAATCAAAGACAGGGACTAGTTGCTATTTATAAGCATATTCATACAGTTTTGTACAGTTTTAAATATACGATATATATATATATATATAAATACATAAGAAACAGTGTATGCTGTTACTATATATATATATATATATATATATATATATATAGTAACAGCATACAATGTTTCTTTTTTTGTGCTTCATTGTTTGAATTTACATGTCCTTAGTCAGTACAAGTAATGCTATGTACATTCAAACCAGTGTTGCCAGATATTTTTAGACAAATGAGTAACAAATGCAGTGACTAAACAATCCCAAAAATAAGTAACTATGCTCACCAAAACAACCTGCTTATTTTTTTCATCGCCTTTTAGTAATCTGTATAAACACACATTAAATAAAGTTAAGTTGCATTTTTGACATTCAGAAAACATCTTTGCAATTATATCATTTTACAAAAAAACACACACATCTAAATCAATGAGTAAATTTACTATAAATTTACCAAAGTTTCTCATAATAAGTGGACATGGCAACACTGACTTAAACAGAGTCCCATTCTTTCTTTATAAAGGACTACATTGTTGATGATGCTAAACAATTTATTCATCGCTCAGGGATTTTAGAAGCCTTCAATCTCACTGTAATGGATTTAATAGGTTATAAACAAACTCTATTATACGAATAGATGTAAACAAACTCAAGTTTCTGTAATATAATACACTATAATGTTAGCTTTTAAGACAGAAGGCTTTTACGTGCAACAGTAAAACACTGTACATATACCTGCTAGTAACCTGAGAGTAAACTTAAACATTACTTGTTCCCTAAGTCAGTCCCAGCCTTTCAAATCAAGCAGGTATTTAATAAGGGCCTTCCTGGTGGTCCAGCAACCTAATGCCATGATGACCTTAAAGATCCAGCTGAGGAGTCCTTCTGTAGGCATCACGAGGGAACCCAAAGATCTAGATCTGCTCCTTGGGGAAACTAATAAAGGGAGATTGAGGGCAACACTCCCTACCGCCCCTGCTGCATTTTCAGCAAACGCGCACACTGTCAGCGAACAGGAAAGGGTGGAAAAGGCCAAGCAGCGTGACATAATGATCAACCCATCTGGCGTTAGCCAATCAGAGAGCATTATGAAAAAAGTGGAGCCAATCAGTAGGATACGGGCTGTCATGTGGTCGTCACTAAGCCACAGGAAGTCAAAAGTAGAAAGCACAGGTCCGAGTGATTCACCTGCCCATTCTAGATCGTTCTGGAGTGACATGATAATTTGGTTACTGGGAGAAAAGAATGAAAGGACAGATGAGCAGCCAATCAGGAGGAAGCCCAATGATGAAGCTCTGTGATCCTGCAAACAGAGAAAGAAAAGTTATAACAGTGCAACCACATGCATCTCACTGATAGTATGCATATAATCACTGGACACTGAATGGACGTTTACCTTGAATAGCTGATAAGCAGCATGTAGTGATGAGACAGACAAAATCATTAATGTCATGACTGTGGTAAACTCTTTTATAAAATCCATCAGTGCCCTTTGAACACATAAATCACACATGCATGAAATTAGTGCACTTTTAAGTGTACACAACAAATATGTTAAGTATAAAGTACAAAAAAAGAAATAAAGCACAAAGTTGCCAGACATACTAGGCAAAGTAACAAACTTACTGGTAAAACACAGCTATAATAAAAACGAAAACATGCTATATGTATATAATATAAGTTACTAACTAACACGTTTACTAATGACTGGAATCTACTGTATTGTAGCAAATAGGATTGTCACGCCATACCTGAGCAAAAAGTGAAGTATTTTATTGTTCAGCGTGTAATTACAGAGACAAGGCAAATTGCAGAACGTCAAGCTACTGAATTAACATTTAAATCAAAGTAGTTGTCATTCGGTTCTGTGGCAAAATGTGAAAGATTGCGTTCAGCATGTGCTCGCTGTTTATCATCAACAACCCGAGCGAGCCGAGCACAGGAAGTGTGTCCACTTCTGCGCCTAGCGGGTAGAGTGTGTGTTCTACCCTCTAGTGGACGAGAGAGAAACAGCACCAATGTTGAGATCACAATACAAATCCGGGTTACAGGCTATTTTTTACAGTCGATTGTTACATCACTGCTATCCGACAATTTATCTTATGGAATACATAAAAAATCATGACCGATGGCAAAAAAAAAAAAAAGAAGAAAAAAAAAGTGTTTTGGTGCGATGCAGCTGTATGAGCCATTCCACCGAAAGGGTGACATTTCTGTCCCCAGGACACAGGGGCGGCCTTACCTATGTTTCACCCGTTTCAATTGAAACAGGCCCCGCCCCCAACAGACCAGCAAAATCCCATTCATTTTCTCCGTAGGATATTGATTTTCAGCCATAATGTCTAAACCATTCAAGGTAGATTGACCACGAGCTACGAGGTTGTGAAACGAAAGTTTCTGCTCCTGTAAAAGCCACAAGCTACGAAATCAACCTTGTTATTTGCAAAACACTGACGTCTCTGATTGGACGAACTCGCGGTTACCATGGCGACGTTTACCACCACCCCCGCGAACGGCCTAAGCGATCTGAAGTATAATATCGGTAGTTTGTATTTATACCTTTGCCTTTTTTGCCGTTAGGTTAAAATATTATTTTGAGCAGAAAAATTATTTTAAGAGGAAATGAAACATACAAATGCCAGTGGTGCTGAAAAACGAAAGATATCGGACAACAAAAGAAAAGCTTCAGTCTACTCTGCGTGAAAGGGCGAGGCTTATTCCAACATACAACGCTGTATTGTATATAGTTTTAATCAAATAAGGTTGGATTATTTCTATGTTGAGCTGCCTGTTCATGAAGCTGAAAATGCACTAATAAAATAGTATAGCCTACCATCATAGGCGGAGTTTGACATTCGAGCCAGGGGGGGCAAAAAAAAAAAATCATTGTAGCATTCATTCATTCGTTCATGTAGTAATCATTAGGCGCGTTTCGATTACAGATTTGCGCAAAACTTTTGCGCCTTTTTTTAAATGTCGATAAAAAACTATTGCGAAATGACGGCGTTTCCATTAACCGATGTTATGCGACTAAAATGTATTTAGACATTATTACACACTAGACATTATTATTATTATTAATGGAAGGAGACGTGGTGTGTTATCCAAGCATTAATGGCAGACCCTTATACTGCGAACGGCACATATAGCCTAAGAGTTCCTGGCTGTTTCTCCCTCATTTCTGCTCCGAGGTCTTGATTGTGGCATTTCTTTGAGGTTTAGAATCCAGTACTCCTGTAATTATTGTTTCTTTTATGAATTTAATAAAGAACTCGTATTATGTCCAAACGGTCAGTGTACTTTTGTGTCCATTCGTTTTTCCTTATTTAACCCGTAATTGCAAAACGAAAAATAAACGGTTGTATTTTTAAAACGCAAAGTCGAACACCAAAATTTTAATTTGAACTACTACACACCAAATGCTGCGCAAAATAAATAATATGGACGAATTTTCAGATTTTTGTTTATGACTTTTTGCCCCTTTATTAAACATTTAAAATATTGACAAATTAATATGAAAAAAAATGTAGATTTAACTGGTTTTCTAAGGCCAAATTAGAACCTGGAAATTATATTTTTCCCGTAGTGCTGAATGAGAAGATAACCACAGACTACAGAAAGGTGATTTATAGGTGAGTTATAGGCTATAATTAATAAATGTGTCTGAAAAAAATAACAAGGCATTTTAATTGTTTATTAATAAAAAATCAGTGTCGGCTAAAACATCTCCATCTCCGCTGTAAAGCGGATGCACCTTTAGAGAGAAATGCACCTTTCATACGGATTACATAGCCTAATCAGAAGGTATTAGCTTTCGATTCGAATTTGTTCGTTTTAAAGTGGACATTTCAAGCTTTAGCTTAGGCTATATTTTGTTTCAGTTCTAGCGCTTCAGTTCACGGAGACCATGAAGCGCGCCTGATTGTTTTATTTTATTTTACAAAAGCACAACGTTTTCTTGTTATTGTGAGTGTACACAAATAAAAGTAGTTGCGAATAATGTATTATTATTTTCTGTATGACCAGAAATGATAGAGTAGGCTAGCCTATTTTAAGTTGTTTCCACTGTTGATGGGAAAATGCAAGTGTTCGCGCCCACGCCCCGCGCCTCCGTGCCATCCAGTGCGCGCTCCACATTCCGCACACACACTTGGATATGCGTCAAAATCTTTTTTAGCCTATTTGTGATCATCTTAGCCCTGTATTATGAATGATATGTGACGAATTGCTTTGTTCCTTTTTTTTTGATAAGCGTCTTCTACATATGTAGCCTAATAAATGTTATAATAATGATGATAATTATTATTATTATCCCCGCGTCTTCTCTAAGTCAGCTGACTGTAAATGCGCAAAACCTGTTTCCATTGCAGTTTTTTTTTTTACTAAAGCAGTATATAAAATCAGATGTGTAGCCTATTACCTACCACCATTTAGTTGTTTTGTGTTATTTAAAATATTTATAATATATATAGGCCTATTTTTTAACAATGCAAAAAAAAAAATTAAACGGGTTTCAGCCACCAGGGGGGGCAATGCTCCCCCTGCCCCCCCCCGCAAACTCCGCGCCTGCCTACCATTGATGCAAACCAACAGGAATCCTTGCTTTTTCTGCTCTATTATGTTTGTTTTATGTGGGTAGGGCCCCATATTAGTTATTGAAACGGGCCCCCAGATGCTTAAGGCCGCCACTGCCAGGACATTATAAAACTGCATGAAAATTAACTGTAAAATACATTTTATTATCAATCAAAATGTCCTGCACATTAAGCTAACTACAAATTTAAAATGTATAATTAAAAAGATTAATTAAAACTACATAGAACACAAAAAAAGTGCATTTTCTGCATGTCCACACTCTCTATCTCTAAACTTTACTATAAAATATGATTAAAATCGTGCAGAAATCTTTTTTTTTTTTTGCATTGTTGTGTGACTTTATATCCAATCTATGTTTTAAAATGGTTGTTTTTTTTTCATGAGAAAAAAATATTTTATCAAATAAAAATTTTAGTCGTGTCCCCGGGTTTTCACTCAGTCCTGTTACCCTAACACATCCCCAGCCCTTTTTTATTTTACAAACTTGGAATATTCAAGACACATTTTCAACAGGAAGTTGCATCATCTGGATCTTCTGAAGGCAATGGGAAGACCATAAGTAAGTCCTCACAATTTAATTTCTGTATATTTTGAAATTGTAACTATGACTGAGAAGGTCAATCTCAACATACTGTACTGTTACCTAAATTATTTCTTAGATTTTATTAATTTATTTTAAGTAAGGTAAGTCACTAGAATTTGCTACGTGTCCTTATGCTATTAGCATGTATGCTATGTGGCCATATGTCATGTATTTATAACTTTTTGCTTCAAAACTCAATCCTGTTACTTTCAGTCCTGTTACTTATATGAAAAACAACAGGAGTGAGTTAAAGTAACAGGAGGGAGTAGAGTCCTGTTTTGTTGATTTAATACTGTAAATATTAGTTGATATAATACTTTTCACCTGAGTTATGAGGTTTAAGGTTGCAATTAGGCCTACTTATATTGTAGACATTAGCATTAGTTTTACAATGTGAACACCATACTTCCAGGAAGCCAGTCCACCACAAAGTGATTTAAAAGTTTTGTCTGTGTCTTTCTTATATCTTACATGCTTTTTAAATGGCACATGAGTTTCGGTAACAGGATGAGAAAACATGCGTCCATCTTCTGCTTAGAAACCTTGTAAAAATTAAAAAAATAAAGTTGCCTAAGTTTGACCAATGCACATTCTGAATAGTTATAAATGTGTAGTAATAGATTCAGTGTTGAATATTTGTATCTCGTATCTAGATATTTGTGCAACACAAAAATACTGAGTGTACCTTTAAGAATTCAATATAGGCTAATAATCATGTAATGCATTATTCCCCAGTTAAACTCAAACATCTAAATTATTAATACTTGAGACTTATCACCATGTTTACAGCTCAATCATAAAAATGACAAAAGCATATACACTCCAGTTGTACTGCAGCATAGTCAACAATGGACTGCCTTGTTATCGTGTGATAAAATGCATAGGGTGTATATAAAAATACAGGGTGTTAATAAAGTAAATGATAAAATATTTTATAACATCAATTAATGAAATATGTTTTTATTTAAACAATTTAAATGTAATAAAATTTTTGACTTAAAACTACATGGAAATTAGCCATCCCTTTAAATGCTTTACTTCAGCTTTATTAGAATTCGTTATATTCATAGTAACCAGAATTTGATTTATTCTGACACATAAGTTTCTAGTTACCCAGCAAGTTGTAGCTCAAATGCACCCAAAATAAGCCCTACATCACATTACTCTATGTTTATGATAGGAAGATATAGAGTGCTGCAGAGATGATGCATTTTTGTAGGCCATCCTTGAAGTTATAGCATCACCCTGGTTCCCTCGACATTTTTACAATGACTTTTGGATAATAAGCTCTGTGACCAACAAAAGATTACTATACTTACACGTAAAGATAATCTTTACAAATGAACACATCTTTTATGAATTTTGAAGCCTAAATGTATTCGCCAGAAGTTTTAGAATATAAACAAATCACACCATGGTCACAAGACGTCAATGTCACCATCACTAAGCTTCCAACAACTCTTTGTTTAAAATCTACAAGTTGGACATTTAAGTTAGAAAAGTTTAATAAAGATCACAAGTATAAAAAGCTAATAGACAATTATCCCTGTTTGGCATGATGGCGTTTAATATCTCTGACAACCTCTGTAGTCCCATTTGCTCACTTGTTTTACAAGTCACGTAAAAGCTTAAAAAATTCATGAGTTGGGTATACTGATGTGTGTTTTTTTTTTGTGGAATAAATATATTGAGCTTGTGCTAACCCATTAAAAAAAACCTTGACATCAGGATGATTAAACTGGAAGTTCAAAAATGCTTGTGGGTTTTAGAACTCATTCCTGCGACACTATTCATAATCAGTTACTGTTCTCTTGGGTGTGCTATAACTGTGTATGGTTTGACTTTAAGAACCACACTGGCGACGCCTCGCAGGTCAGGCAGAGGCTCTTCTTTACTGGCAGGCAGGAACTGAAAGTCTCGCAGCAGATAAGCCGTGAAGAGAAACATCTCCATTTTGGCTACCGCCTCTCCCAGACACAGTCGAGCTCCCCCTCCAAAAGGAATCAGGGCACGAAGGGACCCGCCACCACCTTCCAAAAAGCGTTCTAAAATAAATCATATTCACTGTCACGGTTAAAGAGCACTGCATTGTGTGTGTAAATATGCAAATTAGAGAGGTCTGACAACTTGTGTGGTTTTGTACCTGGTTTGAAGCTGTATGGATCATTCCAAACGTCTGGATCATGGTGGGCACCATACAGATTAGGGATGATTATTGTATTCTTGGGGATGAAATGGCCTGCAATACTAAACAGAGGACTGTATGAATTTCTTTCAAGAATCTGATTGAACATTAAAAGGGCTATAAACCCTTATTAATAGCGACACTGGTGGCAGTTAAGTGAACTGCAGCCAGCGCCTTATCACTCATGCTCTCGCTCATGTTCGCACTCATGCACACATAATGTACAATAGACTGAATGTGATTCAAGGGCCCAATATACTCATGGAGAAGTTCTTTTTCATTCTTCGCTTACAAGTATAAAGACGTTGGAAATAACTTTGCTGCGATGCTTTTACCAAACATCTCACCAAGCTGCTGAGAGCAACGTTTAATATGTAAATATGTGCTGCACGCTTTGCTCTCAAATGTCAGCAGTGAGAAAACAGCAGTTAAGAAAGCATCTGATTGATGTGGATGTTTGCACCAGCTCTGCAATTCACCGGCATCATGTCAGAAGATGAGGTAATTGCAATTACACTGTTATGATCGTTTGATTATAAACTATTTGAGAATATAGATTATGTAGATCTGACTATGTGAGAATATATCTAGAATTAATCCCTAATCTCTGCATGACAAAGAATTTATATTGTTTTTATTTTACTTTATATTTAGGCACATAATGTAGGGCAATACACCGTCTTCCTTCCTTCTATACTTCCCCGAAATCGCATACTCTCTGTATTTATTTTGTAATTACTTAATTAATGAATTAAGTAATTACTTCATGACCGCGGAAAAAAAGTGCATTCTATATAGTATGAATGTGTGGTATGAATGTAATCCAAATGTAATATTCGCCATGCTGTCATTATCATGTGACCTGCCAGTGTCAGTTGTGTTGCCAAAGCCACTAGATGACAAGCCTGCAACCTTTAGCCAAAAAAGCGTATCGGCTAATGCTGATGCTGGTGCAGGAAAGGAGAGCAGAGGCCGTTTTTTATGAATGGATGGCAATGGAGAGGAGGTTTCACTACACCGAATAAACCACTTTTGTGAGGAAACACCTTATCATTTAAGTAATCGATAGCCTGTTCGCTATAATCTTCAACATGTTTTACGCTAAACAATACTTTTGTTGGGAACGATATGTAGATTTTACTATGATAAAAAGGTTATTTTATAAGGGAAGGCAGAGTAGGGAATGTCGTGACAGGCAGGACTCATTTACGGCATTACCATAGTATTTTAATAGTGATATTGAGTGATATTGTATATTGTCTAAACTAAAAAAAGTAAAAAAAAAACACGATGTTTTCTTTCTGTGGCTTTCAGGTTTTACCAGATATGATAAGACTTGAATTGTAATGACTATTATAACTGCATATATGCATATGATAGGACGCTGATATTATGCACTTTAATGAATAAAGACAAAATTATTAATTTAATTATAAATATTGTGTTGTATTGTTTAATTAAAATAAAACATGAAGTGTTGTGTCATCTACTGTGTGCCTAATGATGATGATATAACGCTTTTTAATGAATGATGGTAAAAAATACATCTAATTTTAATGAATTAAATATTAAATTACAATTAGGTTTTTAGTGTAATCTTAAATGTAGTTTTTTTACTAGCACTTTGGAGCTAATAGACATATTCACGCTTTTTCCGCAGGTAAAGCACATTCCACAAACAATGCAGTATACTGTAACTTTACTAGCGATATAACACCAAATATAGAACACAGATTCACAAGACCAATCTGCTAATAATCCACATGAAACTGATTAACGTAAACTGTAACTGACTGTCATACAATTTAGAACTGCGTGCACTGATGTCACTGCCATTACACGATAGGCTGAGTTGCCTCATGTGATCCAAGTTAGCCGTTACGCTTTCTCCAATGGTAAGAGATACAGACCCTCTCATCTCCCTAATATAAGACCATCTCTGGTGTTGCTTCACTGCCATTCACAAATCCTCTCCTGTGGCCTCATGGGATAGTAAAGTGTCCATCGTATGCACACTTCAGAATCTCACCCGGAAGTAGTAGGTTATCCGGGTATATTTTGCCTATGAGTACTGTGAATTCAGACATACTTCTTTTGTCACATACTAGTTTTCGCCATTGTATACCTAGCAGTGAAGTATGCGATTTTGGATGCAGCCTAATTGTGAGTAATCACAGTACCGATCTCACTTGATGCTCACCTGCTGTTTCGTATGGCTCTGTGAGGCACGGCTAGGGGAGCTACAGGTCGTAGTCTCAACATCTCATTGATCAATGCACACAGATACGGCAGTCTGTGACGGTCGCTGTACTGAGGGTACCGCACATCCAGCACACCACACAGCTCCTCGTACACTTTATTCTGAACCTGGATGGCAAGAGAATGAAAATACTTTGTGCTGAATGTTTGTTTATAGACCTGTAGATCAGGGGTTTCCAATCCTGCTCCTGGATGACCACTGTCCTGTTCAGAGTTTAGCTGCAACCCAAGTTAAATACACCTGAACCAAGATAATCAAGGTCTTCAGGATAACTAGAAACTTCCAGGCAGGTATGTTAGGGCAAGTTGGAGCTAAACTCTGCAGGCCATTGACCCTCCAGGACCACAATTGCTTGTAGATAGAAGACATTTAAATAGGATGCAGAAAACAATAGGTAGCCTACCTCAGGCCTATGTAAAAGGAAGGCCACAGTCCAGTTGAGCAAGGCAGCAGTAGTTTCTGTCCCTCCAATTAGCAGATCCACTATAGTCATGTGCACATGAGTGTTTGTCAGAGTCTATATATAGGAGACAACAATATTTTGTTTAACAATATTGGATTCATTATAGTAAAAACATTTGCCTCCTGCATGCCAAACTCCTGATTGTGCAGATTTCAATTGAAATGACTGGATTTTGTCTGCAAAATTTCAAATGTGACCGTACCTCGACTAGATGTCTGTTTGTTTACATTTAAATGGAACAGCTTGAAGAATACTGTATTTTTTTACTGTACTGTGTTGAATAGGTTAAAGAAAATATATTTCATTTATTTTACTGATTACAAGTTCTTTCCTTTATTTTTTTCAACATTTTATAAGAACAAAAGGAGCTAACAACTCAGTTTGTCTTTTATATATTAAATAGTTATATATTAAACAAATATTTTCCCCCCAGGACATTCAAACACAATGTTATGCCTGTTTTTCATTCAATAGCAAAATGTACAATTTATTTTTCAGTATTTTGATGTCTCCAGTTTGGGAAACGTTGGTCCAGGAATCTCCAAACAAAACATGTTCCATTGCTCACCATTTGATTTGCTGCTCCTTGTGGTTCAACGCACTGCAGAAGTGAAGAAGTCAGTGTGCCGCCTTCTTTATGGTCACTTCTCTGCAGATGTCACTCGATTAGTACATAGCACATTTTAGTTAACTATGTTTGATCATTTTATTAATCATTTGAGCATTCATTCTTACCTTAAACTCCTCTATGTGTTTCCCTATCAGTTCATCACGTCTGGCTACCTCCTTCATGAGATGAGAGAATGGGGGGTTGGGTAATTTCTATGAGGAAAATTTTTTTGCAAAAAAGGGTGCAAATGAAATGCATATAGGGTCAAAACAATTCTAACATCCAGCAACTTGGGGGTTAAAATCAAATGTTTTACCCTGAGCAGAGGGGAGGAGTCCAGTGCTGAGATCCAGGGTGAACCCCAAAGAGACACAATCTTATTCAGACAGTCCTGCAGCTTCTGCAACTCTTCTGAACTCTTATCATACTGTCTCAACGAGAGGCAGCAGGAGGTTTCAGTGGGAGTGAGACCATGAATTTGAGGACACATAAATTGTATATTGTGAGGAATAACTTTTAAACATCATTTACAGTTTTGCCAAAGGTTAGTGTTGTGATGACATTACTCGCGGCCACTGTAAAATCTTCAGACAAATCCACTGCTTTTCCTTTGTAGTCCCGCAACACCTGTTTCAAAACCACAAAATGTTTTTGTTTAAGGGATTAATCTGTATAAGTGTGGTATTTATAATTATTTTAAACTTTAAAAAAGATCCAAAATTTAAAAATCTTAAAAATTCAACATTTTCCAATGTTTTTATCTTTGACACCCCCTCCCCCATTATTTTCCTTTTTATTTTCCAAAACATAGCCATATTATTTGATAGTTAAGTATATGTGTGTGGTCCAGGTAAACCCTACTTTGTGATGACTATAGTAAAACATGACAATTTTGACCTTGTGGGGACATTTAATGGTGATTATAAGTCATACTAAATTATTTTTCTTTTCTTTTTGTCCGAAAACGGACGAAAACTTTTAAGTTTTGAATTGTTAATTTTTTTTTGCTTCATCGGATGGGGGTGAAACTTGGTGATTTTTGTTGTATTACCTATATGAACACACAAAAAAATCAAGGAGATGATTCTGATATGTTAAAGGGTCGTAAAAAAATAGTCACACTTAGCTTCCTCCTGGTCAAAAATGACCGACGGACATAGGAAATGAATGGGAAATACGAAAAAAATAGGAAAACTCAGAGAAACTTTTGGTGGTACAAGCTACAGATCAGCCACTGTGCAGAAAAAAAGTGTACAGCAATGAAGGGGTGACACTCTAAAACATCAAGAGTGCAAATAAGACCCCCCCCCCCCCCCCACACACACACACACACCCACGCACACAAACACACACACACATACACAGATAAACTGGCAAGACTGCAACAGCAAATTTGTAGAATATGCAAAATAAAATCAATAAATGAAAAACAAATCTCGCTCAAATGCACGCGCACACACACACACACACACACAAACACACACAGAGAGAGAGAGAGAGAGAGAGAGAGAGAGAGAGGCAAGACTGCAACAGCAAACTTATAGAATATGAAAAATAAAATCAATAAATGAAAAAAAATCTCGCTCAAATGCACACACACACACACACACACACACACACACACACACACACACACACACACACACACACACACAGAGAGAGAGAGAGAGAGAGAGAGAGAGAGAGAGAGATAAGGCAAGACTGCAACAGCAAATTTATAGAATATGCAAAATAATGAATTAAAATTAATAAAAAATACCAATTTATTGAAAATGTCTGTATAAAGTGTTTTTAATTATCACTAACCATCCTTTATTTTATTCAATTATTTGAATGATCAAATACTGAGTAACACAAATGTTTCCATTGTGTTCCCTTTCTAACCAAATGCTATAGTTTGATTGTAATCATAATGCAAAACCTGATACTTATCTAAAAAATTTTGTTAAAAAAATAAAGCAGTCTTTTACAATATCTAAATGTATATCTAAATTTAAAAAAACAAACACGAATAAGATAGAGAAATCATGTCTAAAACAACAATAGGAATCAAAAAGCCTTTCTATGTATTTATATAGGAAGCTATGGGAGCCTACAGGCGGTTACAGGACATGACACACATTTATATATTTTTAAAGCCACTAGATGGCGCTCTTCTCACTTGAATTTTTTTTTGAAGGCCTAGACCATAGGTTCTCAAAGTGCGGCCCGCGGGCCAATGGCGGCCCGCCGAAACATTTCTGGCGGCCCGCGATAACATCTGTAAAACTGTTAAAACTATTGCTTTGAAAAAATGAATATCTCCGTTTAGTGGTGTTTAGCGGCATCCATAGGCATAAGCGGTAATTACATGGTCCGACCGACCGATCGCACTTGACCTCACTCCCAAGGCCACCAGGAACAGTGGTTGTCTACACAGGAATAGGAATCGTGGCCAACCGAAACCAGCATCACAAATCCCATTGCAATTTAAAAGGGTATGTTGACCAAGTAATCAATATTCAATGTGACTTAATAATAATCTTAACAATGTCAAGCTTATTAATAGCCGCGTTTCCATTACCTTTCAAAATGTTCGCGGGCGCGAACACTTGCATTCCTATCAACAGTGGAAACAACTTAAACTAGTCTATCATTTCTGGTCATACAGAAAATAATAATGCATTATTCGCAACTACTTTTATTTGTGTAAACTCATAACAAGAAAACGTGCTTTTGTAAAATAAAATAAAACAATCAGCAGCCTAGGCTACTACGCGCTTTCATGATCTCCGTGAACTGGAGCGCGAGAACTGAAACAAAATATAGCCTATGTAGGCTAAAGCTTAAAATGTGCACTTTTAAACAAACAAACTCGAATCGAAAGCAAATACCTGATTATGTAATCCGTATGAAAGGTGGATTTCTCTCTAAAAGCGCATCTGCTTAACAGCGGAGATGGAGATATGTTTTTAGCCGACACTTAGAAAACAATAGTTTATTAATAAACAATTAAAATGCCTCGCTGTTTTTTCAGACGCATTTATTATCATTAGCCTATAACTCACCTATAAATCAGGCTAGATCAGACACGTACAGGCTATATGGCTCTTCTCATTCATCACTGCGGGAAAAATATAAATTCCAGGTTATAATTTGGCCTTAAAAAACCAGTAAAATCGACATGTTTTCCATATTAATTTGTGAATATTTAAAATGTTTAATAAAGGGGCAAAAAGTCATTTAAACAAAAATCTGAAAAAGTCTGTCGATATTTACTTTTTTGCGCAGCAGTTGGTGAAGCCAGTTCAAATTAAAATTTTGTTCAACTTTGCGTTTTAAAAAGACAACAACCGTTCATTTTTTGTTTTTCAGTTACGGGTTAAAAAAGATAGATAATAATATGCAAATCTGCAATAATGGAAACGCGACTGACAAGCAATGATAGAAATGAATGATGATGATGACTTGTTTGGTAAGCTTCTATTTTAAAAGTTTCTTTCTCTCCCCCCAAAAATTTTCACAAATTTTGCCAGGTTTAGCCTCAGTTATGAATTAAAATGTGTTTATTGCAACTAATGTAAACTGTAGAGATGCAACCTGGTCATTAAAATAATTTCAAATGGGATTTTCTTTTCAGTTTTTTTTTCTTCGTTTTCTCCCCCGCCACTTTGGCGGCCCTCAGTTCAATGTTGGGTTCCTAAATTGGCCCTCACCTATCAAAACTTTGAGAACCCCTGGCCTAGACTCTATTTTTATGTAAAATGTTGCATTTATTGAAAAAAAATGAATAATTTTTTTTAGATTAATTCTAATGGAAAAAATTGCTCATAAAAATTATATAATTAATGCAAAGTATCATAAAAAACTCTAAAAATTCTAAATAATAATCAGAAAATATTATAGAACAAAAATATATTTGATTGGTTATCCTGGGAAAAAATAAAGTTAAATTTTAAGGCTTCGTCCGTTTTTGACCGGGAGGAAGCTAAGTGTAACCCATTTGCGAAGAAGCCCAGAGGGTTAATGTAAAAATGCAGAAAGTTTTCTGTGAGGGTTGTGTATAGGGTTAGATCTACGGGACAGAATATACAGTTTGTTCAGTATAAAAATCATTATGTTTATAGAAAGTCCCCATGAAACATACAGTAGTAACCCAACGTGTGTGTGTCAGAGGGTGCTTCTCGTTTCCTGAATTCTGCATTCTCATTTTCTAGCTCCTTTGTACTTGACCCATGACCTGGAAACTGATCAAAATCTGTCATGAATGATGAAGTATGTATCAGTGTGTGACTGCGTTTAACTCCACTTTTAGACACACTCGCAACTTTCCTAAGTGCTTCCCTTTTGGATGAATATCCGCCGCAATTTTGAAGTGCATTCAACTTCGTCAAGTGGGTGAGGGAAGTTTATTTGGACAGACCCTCCTCCACCCCTCGATTTTGAAAGAGGGAGCGAGTCTACTCAATATGTACAATTCAGGCAGATCCATAGACCACAATGCAACAAGATTGAGACGTCACAGCAGATTTTGCTTTTACCCCCACCCCACACAGCTCTAGTACATGGTATTGGAGTTATTTTGACATTTAACCGCATAATGCTTGTTTAAGCTGACTGTTATAATTTATTGTATTGTTATTTTCATTTGTGCAATTTTTTACATTTTCTCCAACAGCCCAAGCATATAGAAAAATGTAATTAATAAATCAGTGATTCAAGTGATCAAGGGCTTAGTGCGTTCCATTTAAACATATTGTAAGGGTTCCACCAGCAGTGGGCACTCGTACAACGTAAGCAGTGAATGAGACGGAGGGAAGTTTATAGTGAGGGAAATTGGACTGAAACGCAGCCTGTGTGTATGTATCTGCTCTATAACGTTACCTGACAGAGATGGTGTGCTTGCTTTTCTATGACAGAGTGCAGGGAATCAGTCGTGCAGCGCTGCAGAGCACTATGTGCCACACGCCTATGAGCCTTCCATTCCTCACTGAAATCACCCAAAGAAATGGTTCGCCCTCCATCTGACACTATATCAGCTAAGAGTGAGGTACAAGAACAAATACATATGAGATATGATATATAGGCAGTCTTTTTGAAAAGATAATCAATTGACTGCTGGGCTAGTTGAACAAAGTAAGTTACCTGTGTATGAATGAGGCCTCCCAGCAAAGTCAGACCATTTTTTAATCAAAGCCTCGCGGATGATCTCACTACTGTTTAATATCACCATGGCTGCAAAAAAACAATAAAAGACATGAAAAGAGATTGTTAATGACATAAGGGAGACTAACGTAACAGTAGTTGCAACATTTTTTTTTACTCCTCTGAATATTTCTCAAGCTATGTTATTTTTTGTTATTGATCAGAAAAAAGTAAACGGTAAAACAATTATGAATCATAAGATTATAATTACGGAACAGCAAAAATAAATCACATTTTAATCTTACAATTAAAATACCAAACCTTTGTTTTGGTTTTTATATAATAATAACACTGAAAAATTATGTTTCTGGTTAAAAAATACCATCATTACATAATTGACTCTTGTCTGAATGTTTGCCAGTGTAGCTTTTTAATTTTTTTCTTTACTTTTGCTTATCTAAATAACAGCTATAGAAAACATATATAAAAAAATGTAGTCTTTCTTTGTGCCCTGCGATTTGGTCTCAGGTAGTATCGAGGGGTATGTGAAAAGTCAAGAGTGTTTTAGGTCGGCGGTAGTGTGCCGTGTGCTTTGTGGTATTTTGTCATGAAACGCATTGAATTTGGAGCTTGTCCTCTGACGTCATCTTCGTCATCAGAGGTTTCGCTCAGGTCAACTGTGAGATGAGATGGGAGTCTTTTGAAAAATTAGGAATTTGGTTACTTACTTTGTAGGGGTTTCTCTCATATGGAGTCGTCAACTTTCCTGTCGAGGGTTGTCGGCAGAGTACAACGTCACCTGCCTTGATACTGGATTCTTTTGCTCTGTTCCGAAGATCTGCATATCTTTTCATTCGTTGCTTTGCAACATGATCAATGTCGCTGAGGTCATTTTTTGGCGTGTCCTGTGGATTTGAAGGTAATGTGTTGTTAATCTTTTTTCCGAACAGTAGTTCTGCTGGTGGTTTTTGGGTGGTCCCATTTTGGTGTTGTTCTGTAATTTTCAGGAAACTATACAGGCACTGCTTCCATGGTTTCTTCTGCGAAACTGAGTGGTGCGTAGCAAGATAAGGAGAGTTATTTGTGGCTTTCCAGAGAGCATCCCGAAAATAACGCATTGTGAACTGAAGAATAATTCCGCAAGGTTTTTTTTTTTTCACCAGAAGGCAGAGTCTCGTCGCTCCTCACTTTTCCCAAACGGTGAACCACATCAATTAACTTGTGAGATTTACCAGCAAAAGCTGGTACAACAGCCTCGCATATCCAGAACTTTCTACCTTATGTTTTCTACTGGTTGTTCAGGTAGACCGTGGAGCCGCAGATTCCATCTCCTTTTGTATCTGGAGAGATCCTGTACTTTATTCTCCAATTCACAGATTCGTCTTTCGGCATGTGTCACCAGCTTATCAACTCACTCCACATTCCCCTTTACATCTTTCACGAGTTCACATCTACATAATTATTATGGTAATTATAATTATTATAATTATTATGGTGAGGGTTATGTGTATTTGGCGTGCTGTCTGGGTGGAGGGCTCAGAGCTCGGAATTTCTGCCCGAACCCAGAGTACTCCCCCCGTTGGTAAGAGTAGATGGAACTAGAGATGGAACTAGAAGTGAGGAGATGGGGTGGAGGTGGGATGCTGATAAACTGTCAAGGAATCAAAGGAGGGTTATGCTGTTATTTATCTTGTCCTGAGTTGATTACAGATTGATCTCCACCTGTGCTGATTGGGTTAATCATCTGCACCTGCTCCTCCCGAAACCTTGTTAATAAAACATCATTTAACTTCTTCTGCCAGAAATTTGACTGATACCTTCTCCTCCTCGATGCCTTTATCACTGTAGCGTATCTGGACAGTGTCAGGGTAATCATGCATTCCAACACTTGGAAACTGTTCTAACCCCGGGCTTCGGCCGATAACTCACAAGTAGGGCGCCAGAGAGACGTCGCCTACGTGGTCCAATTGACACTTTTGTGGCATACGCGAGAGAAAACAAACAGCCATAAACTCGAACGTGTGAGCCTCAAACAGATTTGCATCGCTCAACACCCCCCCTCCCCGACAAGAAATGAATTACAAGTAGCCGAAGCAAAGCTCCTCCAACGCACACACAAACACACACACACGGACGTTTCATAAAACATCCTCATATAAAGACATTACTAAGATATATTCGATATGTTTTTATGTTCGCTTGCTTGCCCATGTCATATTGGGATACCATAAAACTTCAAATAATAGCCGAGTCCCAAATAGACGCCTGTCTCTTTTACACGCCTGGTGTGGCTGCAGGTTTGGGTAAATAAAGGCCGGTCTCAAATAGAGGCCGGGTCTGTTTTTTAGTTTCGGGTTGTATTTAATCCTCTAAAACCGCCAGATCGTCCGCTTTTTGGCGGCCGCCAAAGCAAATTTTTGTCCCTCCATAGCCTTTTTTGATCGATGAGTGATGTAGAATAGAATGACTGCTGCGCATGACAGGGCGCATAACGAGCAGAGAGAGAGAGAGAGAGAGAGCGCCCCGGCCATGTGCGCGCACTCTCATGTTCAAACAATACGAGCGCTGTCTTGCTCTCTCTCCCTCGCGCATATTAATCAAAATCGTACTCGGTTACTAACGTAACCTCTGTTCTCTCTAGAGAGGGAACGAGTACTGCGTAATATCTTACGCTATGGGGAAAACCTCTTTTCCTTGAGATATTGAAGCCAAAAATTATCCTTAATTTTTTATCAATGCAGAACGCTTTGCAGCAGCAAGCAGACATAGGCGAGGCGGCTCGCACGCCTATTGGCTGCTCTGTGGCAAAAGCAGCAGCCTATCGAGAGCGGCTCTGCGTGACGTCTTGACCAATGGGGGCACTTCGCGCCCATTCCGTCACGTCCCGCCAGAAAGGGCGTGGTCTCGCCCTATAAATGTAGCTCGGTTAGGCTGGTACACTGGTTTTCATCGCCGAAGCGAACCAGAGCGTATTGTAAGCACGGCAAGATACGCAGTACTCGTTCCCTCTCTAGAGAGAACAGAGGTTACGTTAGTAACCGAGTACGTTCTCTTACGAGAGTATCTCTCGTACTGCGTAATATCTTACGCTATGGGGAACATGCATGGGGAACGTGCATACAGGGATCCAACACCAAAGTCCCAAGGGCAGAGGCCCGGGGCGCATGTAGTGCATAATCACCATAGACTCAGAAAGAGTGAAGGAAGAGGGGCTAGAAGCGTCATTCCTTATAAAATAGCATCCAGAGGAGCTAATCATATAGATATTATACCACATAGTCAGGGTGAAACACTTTCAGCCTAAACTGGGTGGCCATACATGTGTTGACACTCGTGGAGCTGCTGTATCAGTCAGTGAGCGATACGCAGGCCAAACTCAGCATCTGGGCCGACACAGCGGGGCAGATCGCACTGAATTCTAGACCGCCAAAAGCTTAGCTTGTAAGGCGGGGACCTCCAGGTTATAGTATTTTATAAATGTAGACGGCGAGGCCCAGCCCGCAGCCGTACAAATATCTTGCAGGGTAATCCCGCTAGACCATGCCCACGAAGAGGCCACGCCTCTCGTGGAGTGCGCTCTGACACCCAAGGGACACTGCAGGCCCTTAGAGGTGTAAGCCAGCGCTATGGCATTAACTATCCATCTGGATAGGCTCTGTTTTGATGCGGCAAGTCCCTTAGAACGTCCGCCAAACAAAACAAAAAGCTGCTTAGTCTGTCTAAAACCAGACGAGCGGGACACATAAGCTCTTAGTGCCCTGACGGGGCAAAGGAGACTCGCGTCCTTCTCCTCATTGAGAACCGGAAGGGCGGACAGGGAAATCACCTGGGCCCTGAACGGTGTGTTGAGGGATTTCGGCACGTACCCGTGCCTAGGTTTGAGTATGACCTTTGAGTCATTAGGCCAAAACTCCATACATGACGCGCTTACCGAAAGCGGTTGTAAGTCCCCTAGGCGCTTCACTGAAGCGAGAGCCATGAGAAACACCGTTTTGAAAGACAGATGTTTCATGTCTGACAAATGGATTGGCTCGAATGGGGCACCTTTCATGGCTTCCAACACCGTGGAAAGGTCCCACATCGGGACTGAAGGGGGCCTGGGAGGGTTCAATCTCCGAGCTCCCCTGAGGAAACGCACGACTAGGTCGTTCTTCTCCAGTGGCTGGCCAGACGCCGGTTTTGCAAACGTTGCTATGGCCGCCACGTATACTTTGAGCGTGGATGGGGTTCTGCCCTTATCCAGCAGCTCTTGAAGGAAGGAAAGCACTTCCGTAACCCCGCAGTCTACGGGTGAAAAGCCCTGAGCTTGACACCAAGCAGAGAACACAGACCATTTCGAGGAATAAAGCCGTCGAGTAGACGGAGCTCTAGCCTGCGTGATCGTGTTTAACACTCCCTCCGGGAGGTTAGCGAGTACCCGTTGATGGCCCATGCGTGCAGGGACCACAGATCCGGGCGAGGATGCCAAATCGGGCCCCCTGCCTGTGAGAGGAGGTCTCTCCTCAGTGGTACAGGCCACGGGGCAGTGCTGGCCAGCTGCATCAGGACTGGGAACCAGGTCTGGTTTGTCCAGAGCGGGGCCACGAGCAGCACTGGGCATCCGTTTTCCCTGATTCGTTCCAACACTTGAGGCAGGAGCGAGACAGGGGGAAAAGCATATAGGGGAACACGGGGCCAGACATGGGCTAGCGCGTCCCTGCTCTTCGAGAAGAAGTTCGGACACTGAGCATTTTCGTGGGACGCGAACAGGTCCTCCTGCGCTCTGCCGAACGTTTCCCTGCGGGTGCAGTGACCATTCCCCTGCTGGGACATTGTTTCTGGACAGCCTGTCTGGTCCCACATTCAGGTGACCAGGCACATGCGCTGCTCTCAGCGAGAGCAGGTTGTGCTAAGCCCAGACCAGAAGGCGTTCCGTCAACCTGTAAATGTTTCGGGACCTGACGCCGCCCTGGCGATTTATGTGTGCCACCACTGACATGTTGTCCGACCGGACCAGGACGTGGTGACCTTTTATCTGGGGACAGAAGCACCGTAGCGCTTTGTCGACTGCAATCATCTCCAAGCAGTTTATGTGAAGGAGCTTTTCCCGT